TGAGAGCTTATTGTCAATAATGACTCCCAGGTATTTCGCTTGAAGAAACTGAAGGATTACCTATACTCAAAGTTAGCAGCGAAAGTGGTGTCGTGCGCTTCTTTCTGATAAAAAGGGTTTTACTCTGTTTCGTTTCAACGACGACATCAGTTGGCAAGGGTCACTAGGTAGTAATGCAGAGATGGCGCAATAGGGCAGATGGATTTGACGAGTAAACCGTTGTATTGTCCGCACATAAGGCAATCCGCGTGTGGGGTTCATTATGGCGTGGCACCTTGTGTACATAAAGTGCGAAGAGTAGGGGGATGAAAGAGATCCTTGTGGGACTCACGCTGTTAGTGGTCAAAGCGGTGTGGGCGCATCGCCCACACGTATTGGCAGAGACGCGATATATTACTTAACTTTGTCTCCCATAATCGGTTATGGTGCGCCAAAAGCTCTTTCCCAATGCGGCGGTATAGTCTATTAAAGTTAATTTATCGTCGGGCTTTGTGACACCGTGGTCACTCAAATAAAGCATCGCCTCTCACAGATGACGGCCTTCAACTCAACAGGCAAGCGGTTAGGGCGGAACTCAACTTCGCATGTTATGGTGGCAGTGTGATAAGCCATAGTTAAAGCGCCCACAATTTCAGTAAAAGAAACCTCAAGTAAGGTGGGCGTCCGGAGTAAGGCGGAAGATGTTAAAAAGGTTATATCAGTAGCCTCGGAGAATGTGTCCAGTCAGTAAAAAGTTCTGGTATTTGAGCTCAGTAACTCTTTTTGTCGCCCAAGTACAGATGCGCTAGCAGATGATCCAATGAGAGTCCTTAAAAATCTACTACTGACGTTGAACTATTACTTTTGTAACGACGACACCAATTACATTTGATACCCTGTCTTCATCATGTACGTTGTGTGTGTGGCCCTAAGACGAGCAGTCCGCGCTCGTCAGTCTAAGGTTCGAGGATTCGGCCATCTGAATTATCAACGTGACTGTTTCAGGTGGGACGCTTGCAGTTATGACCCCCACATACAAACAACTGAGGAACAATTTATTAAAAAGGGTCTTAAGATCTGAGGTTACAAATGGCTGCTGGGATAGTTGAAAGCTGCACTTACCGATATGGGTCCCTGGTAATCACATCGCAATAATGAGAATAGAGCTTTTTATTTGTTTTATAGTAGTATAAAAATAAGAATCAACGATTTATAGAAGCTGAAACTCCCGGCATACCGTTTTTGTTTAGCAGTAGTTCCCTTGACAGGGGAGGTTAATAGAGAACCTTTGACAGTCGCGTCTCGCAAAACTATTTCGGGATTATGAAAGGTTTTTCCTATATTGTTTTTCAGTGTATGGTAAGGGAATTTACTATAGGAGCTATTAAGAAATATTAAAAAAAAGTTTTTAAAAATTTTTTTTGGAGAAAAGAATATATACTGCCATTTATACTTTCAGTTCTTTCGGTTTTATTAAAATTACAACGTTGTCTATTATTTAATATTAAAAAGTATGTCCTGTAATCTTCGTGTCATGGAAAAATAATACATCCATATGTAATTGCTTGATCTGGTCGGGGAAGTCATCTTTTATAATCTTATTTATAATTATAGGAGGGCACACCTCGACATTAGCTCAAGGCTTTTTAATTTTAAACAGCCTTCAAGAGCTATTAAAGGTATCCCTTGGTTTAAGGAGAACTTATTAACTTTAACGAAGATGTTAGATAATATAAGCAGCCGGATATGTTTTTTACATCCCATACTGCGAAGTAAAAAAGGTTGAACGAATTATAAGGCTACTACTGGGTCAGTATCCAACTTTAATTTTGAAGAGTTCACAATTCAAGTACCAATAAAAATCCAAAAAAAACTAAACATGCAGCTACTAATAAGAGATAAAAGTAGAACATATCTAAATAGAGAAGCACCAATTACTTTGAGCCGTTAATTGATTTACTCGTTTTCTTTTCACTATACCTATTTCTTGTACTATACATAAAAAAGGATCATGGCTGGCGATAAGAAAAGTGTTTTAAAGTTTTATTGTATTCTGCAAGGTAACTTCGAAGAATGACGACACGGGTATACATCAAAAATCTATAAAGCTCTTCAAGGTTCAAGAATATGTAATTAGAAGAGGCACTATCTTTGCTGCAAATAACCAAACATTGTTTAGTTATATTTCAAATATAACTGAGTCAGATTGGGAAAGGACGTAAAAAAGGTTTTAAGTACTCTGGGAGATTGGAAACTTCGGTATATGCTAAATTTTTATTAACTTTTTTAGATTATCTTTAAATGTTATCTTTTATAGTACTTGTTTGTGTGTGAGAATTTTTAAAGGTCAAAAGTAAAAAAAGGTTTGGAACAAAAAGGGGCCGGACTGTGTTGAAACCTCCCACACAAATCTTTAAACTAGTTCCTCAGGAATGCGAGTTAAGAAATTATACCCTCAATTTTTTTGTTATGGAGTAGATGTAAGATGCAAAGAGCCTTTTTTTTTTCAAAAAGTATATTATATACGTATACGCTACTTCCTGGGCTTTTTAAAACTTCAGTGGTTAAAATAATCATATTTACATATATATACGTTATCATTAAAAGTTGTTTCTATGTTCTAAATTTTTTCGTAAAAATTCTATAACTCTATAGTTAATAAATAGTTATATCAATGCTACAATCTGATTGCCAGTATGCCAAAGGGGATACAAGCAGTAATTCTGGCAGAAGGTAACAATATTATTTATTAAAACCTCGTTTCACTAATTTAAATTTTTTTAAGTGCAACATTGTTTCTGTTACCTCTCAACTTTACAAACTCATATCTTTTTGACTATTAAACCAATTTAAGATCAAGTATTAAAAAAAAAAAACGTAGCTAGAACATAGAAGTTTACTTTGTATACTGTATAAATTTTTAATTATTCGATTACGTTACTAGAATTTTTTTATATTAAATGAAAAAAGGCAAAACTGTTGAAACAGCCTTGGACGGTAGTGTATATTAATATTTTTAATTCGATATTAGTCCTGAGTTAAGTATAGGCTTAGCCGATAAGTTTCTCTTGTTATTAACAGGCAACAAAGTTATATTTACATACAAAGCTTTAATGAATTATTATTCGTTTCCGCAAACTTTAAATTAAGTTTATCATTACCTGTACAAAATCATTTGTTTTATAAATTTATTGCATGATATTGTTGACATTTTATGGTTGTGTATTCTTCACTACTAACAAAACTTTTCATTTCCACTATCAAACATACCCTCTTGCTTAAACTTTATTATCTGAAAAAGAATTTTCTTTTTACACCTAAGTTAACTCTAACATGTTTAACACGTATGCCTTGCAATGGGATTTAGAATTTTCTTCGTAGTTTAGCAGTTAAGAACGTTGAAACGACACTCTCTTTCGGTCTTTAACGATTACAAATGTAGCCTCGCCTTTATAAGTTCTGATAACCTCCGCTTCTTATATAATCGTGAAAATTGGTGATTAATCGCGGTTTCTTTTCCTTTATATAAACCTCCGATAAGTTACTGAAATTTTGTACAACAAAAAATTAATCAAGTAAATTGTACATAGTTAACTTGATGATAATTAGCTAACAAGGAAAGCCATCTCTTGTAACGACCCAGGCTTAAACTTTATTGCACAACTATTAGGCCAAAGATCACCTAAGCATCTGCATTGTGGTCTTTTATCGCTTCAGTCATATTTTAAGAATCTTTACACTAACTATTTTAGGTGCTCACTGGTTTGTTTTAAGCTTCATTCTGCAACGCGACTTTAACATTGAAACCCTACTACAGTATTTTTAAAGGACAGACTTACAGATTGTGAAAGTATTTATCTCACCCAATTTCGTTAGTTATTTAAGATAATACTTTTAATGCAAAGTTTGTACAAGAATGGCAAGAGATTTCGCTGATTTGAATGCGTTTTATGTTCCTGTGGACACAGCTAACGTAAACCACCCTATAAACTATTGTAACATCGCAAGAAAATTAGACTAAGCAGTATTTGAAACTTTGCAGGAGGAGAGTATCGGTTATAGCTTGTCAGGGATAATAATACTGTCTATTTGTGGTGCATAATTGTTTTCTTGTGCGCAGTAGAATCGGCTTTAACCAGTAAATATAAACAGTTTGTACCGCAAAATGTGGTCGATAATTAACAGGTGCTAAATGTCCGAGCTATGATGTGCCAACTAATATCATTAATTCACACGTATACTACTATCCATTTGCACACTTTAATGGTATACAGTAAGTCTGATGATTATAGTAAGCAATTAGCTTACATGAAATTCAACAAGAAAGTACAGCCAATAACTCTTGGTGCACGCTAATAAAAAAAATTACGAAGGTAAGCGAAACTAAGCATAACAAGGGTATCTTATGGGTAATAAATATAAGGTTGTGACAAAGAAGGGTGAATAAAGTTATACACTTGCGTAACCGTTACAATTTATGCCACTTTATCAAGCAATCGGCCGACTTGAGGCTTAACATTTTTATGTTTAAGGCTGCACGGTTAAAGCTTGGAGGGAAGTTCTGTTTATTTATAAAATCTATCTTATAGGACGAGCAACATCGATTTCATTTAAGCTTTTTATAAATATCAGAACCTTTTAAACGGAAAGATGCAAGAAATTGTTTCGGTAAAATACTGTAATAATCTAAAAATGAAAGTGACCAAAAGTTTTTAAAACTTAAATAAAATGCTCTTAAGTCTTTTTAGAGGATCCAAAATAAAGGTAAAAGGCTTTTTTCGTCAGTAATAGAGATTTAAAAATGCATACTGCATAACCGACTTAAAAAAATATATTTTTTAATTATCGAAGATTATTACGCAAAATATACTGAATACCGTAACAGTTCAACTATTATTTGTACCATCTATTCTCGGCAACCACTTGCAAGCGCTTAGAGTGTGGACTATCAATAATTTTGAAACAATCGCGAGTAAAGTAAAATCTTTATTATTGGTTTTATTTATAGGAAAAAAAGAATATTAAGACGTAATCTTCTCACTATCCCGAAACCCAAAAGAATTCGCAAAAACAATAGCATCCTCTAAACGAGTGCACCACGTTTTTAATTGTTCTAATAATTGTTAAAATATTAGAAATAAGATAATACTAAAACGATAAATAAGTAAACGTTCAAGCAAATGATATAAACATCAAAAGTAAAGATAAACATAATTATAACAATAAAAAGTTTGAAATAAAAAATTAATAAAATATACAAAAAATACTAAAATAGGTAAACTAAAATAAAAATTATCACAATTTTTCATAAAAAAATATTAAAGTAGAAAAAAATTAAATTTGTATTTAATAAAATAAACAAAAAAAAAGAAAAGTAATCAATAAGAAAAAAATTTATTAATTAAATTAAGTAATAATGATAATAATGTTATATGATGTAATATAATAAAAAGACTAATTATATAAAAATATATGAAAATATAGTTAGAAAATATTATAAACATAAGGAAAAAGTTTTTATATAAAAACTGAGCTTATTATAATGTATATATATAAAAGTAAATAGACAAAAATAAAATTTATATACATAACGCCGCTATAATTTTTTTTAAAAAAAATATATAAAAAGAAAATTTACACAAAATAAGTATAAATAAATAAAAGTACAATATAATAGGTTTTATACATAATGTAGGTCAAATAAGGGCAAGTAATATATCTATACAGTGAAAAAAAAAATACCAAGGAAAAAATTTTACCCATATGATATGTATATATATAATGTATAAAAGTAATAACCTAATATAAAAAGTATATAAAAAGTATTAAAAAAAAATGAATACATTAAAAAAAAGTATTGATAAAAGTAATAATAACGGAATATTCTAGTTTAATAAATATAACGAATCACCGGAAACCAGCGCTATTTGGCCAAGATCAAGGACACGTGGCTGGAGCCAAGTGACTCTGCAAAAAAAAATAATAAAGCCTGCACCAGTGAAACTTCTTTATTTTTATATAATAATAATTATATTATTTGGTTTATTGTAGTATTTCTGATATATAATAAAGATATATAACAATAAAAGAATATATAAAAGAAAGACCTTACGAGTTGGGAAACTTCGTCGATGGTTCCTTTCAATAAATTTAAGGACAAGGCCTTCATGCAAAGTGTCTCAACCTTGAAAAAAAAAATGCATGTATAACTTTTTTTTATATATTCAAATAAAAAAATACAAAAAAAATCTAAATCATTAGAAGTTTTTTTATAATAAAAATAAACACTTCGTTCACAGGAATGGAGCACTGTTCAGCAATATAAGCAAAAGAAAGAGAGCGCTCGTGCGTGGGTTTCTCAAACACAATATGCAATAAAGTCATTAGCTGTATTTTTCGTCGTATGCGATGAATATTATTCAATAGCTCGTTCTAAAAATATAAAATAAGCGTAAAAATAAAAAAATTAATACACTAAAATAATATATTATAATGTAATAATGAAAACTAAAAACATATAATAAAATAGTTAAATAGAAAAATTAATATTATGTTAGAAAAAATTATAATAAATTACTTTAAGAAAAAGAAAAAGACTACCGCTACTAACATGGAGATATGTATAAAAATAAATTATGATATATATGAAGTATTTACTTATTATGATAACAAATAAACAAATAAAAGATTTAAATAACTGAAACTTCAAAAGTTTAGTTATACGACAGAACGGACTTCACGTAAGAAAAGTTAACGTATATACCACGTGGCAAAACCACCTTATTGGCTATATCTTTTATCACCAAAAAATAAAATAAATGAAATTTTTATATTATTATATCTTTTTTTTTAATAGCTACTTCACAAATATTTATACGCTCCAAGTAGCACGTTGCAAAATGCTGGTGTCACTTTATGAATAAATCTGCTCTAATTAGGGTAATGGGATATAAAGTACCAGATTAAGCAAACAACACTAAATAGTTTTTAAGTAATTGTTTACTTTCATAATGCTTTTTGGTTATTTCGTATTAAACAAAATAAACATGATAATAATAATAAAAGCACTATAAGGCAATAAGTAAAAAAAGTATAAAAAGTATTTAATACTTATTCTCTTTCTACTTTTATATATATAATCTAATAAGTAATGGCTATGCTTTTCGGTATTCTATTTATAAAATGTTCTTATTTTTTTTTTTAATTTTAGAAGTTAATAGTATTTTATATCTAAATCATTTTTTTTTCCTATTTCTTCAACCCTTAAATTTTTTTATATTGTAAAACTCGTTATTATGAATAAACCTCTTTTCTCCAGTAAAGTTGAAGTTCCTCAAAAGTTTTTATATCGCCGCCATTGAAGGCACAAATGAGTTTATAAAGCCAAAAATGTGCAGAATTTTTTAATGAATTAAAAATCGGATGAATAATCTAAAAAGAGATTAAGCCAATATACTATAATGTATAAAGAATATAATAATCAATAAAAAATTAAAAAAAATTTAATAATAAAAAACTTTATTTATTATTTGCTTCTGATTTTAACTAAAACAACAATATTAAATATAAATAAATTGAACATAAAAGCAGCTTTATGATAAACTTTATATGAAAAAAAGTTACTAGAGATGTAATAATTACTTCATTATAATTAATATTAAAATATATTTATAAAAGTAAAAAAAAATTTCTTATTAAAAAATATAAAAATTATAGATTATTAGTAAAAGGCGTTTATTATAAACAGTAATGCTATTACAAAAAAGTATTTATTATTTTATAATAAACGAACAATTGCAAAAAACTACTATAAAGTTTGTATATAAGTAAATAATTTGTAATAATAAAGTTTCTATACATAATAATAAAATAAAATTAAAATGCTTTAAGATTTTTAAAAAAGTATTTTTGAAGGTTTTTAATATAGTATTATATAAAAATTATTTATAAAATTGTTAAGCAATACAAAAAAAAACTTTGAATTATATAAATAATATTTAGTATATTTTTATAAAGAAAAAAAGAAAGCACAAAAAAGGATATACTTCTAGACCAAAAAAAGTTCTATAAAAAATTTTAATTAAAAATTTATAATAAAGAAGTAATGAATATAAAATATAAACTATTCTTTGTTTACTTATAAGTAAACAATATAATATATAGTTCTTCGGTGTTTGGAAGTTAACAATATAAATAAATAGTAGACCTATGTAATATATAAAACACTGTAACACTTTTTATTGTATAAGTAATAGATAAATTGCAAATAACAAACATAGAATTTTTTTAAAAAATTATAAACAAAACTTCCAAACAGTTAAAAAGTTAATGAAGTTTATATAAATATTCATGAAAAAACTCTTTTTATAGAAATTTACTAATAAAAAATAAAGAAAACAAATAAAATAAGAAAAATGCTGACCAGTTCGCCAAAATTATAAACATTATCAGCAATCAGCGCCGCCAGCGAAAGATCAATAGCAAAACTTTGTTGAGTGCTCAAATCTAAACTTTCGACGTCAGTGCACCCTTTAGATGTAAATAATAATTAATATTATATTAATGTTAATTACTAATTTGAAATGTATTAATTTCGTATATATTAGAAGTAATGTGACAATATAAATATATTTACATAAAAAAATATAAAAGTTAGAGCCTTTTGAATTTCTTTATAACTAAATAGGGTAGCTTAAGATTTATTTTATTACTATAGTAGCATACTTTCTTAGACACCGAAAAGAAATAGTACAACTTAAATAAATGCATAATAATTAAAAGTAAACGTTTGCATAACATATAAAACTAACATTCACTTTTTCTATAATAATAAAAAAATAAAAGAACTTTATTATTAATATTTTTATGAATAATAATATTGTATTTCACTATATTATTTAGATCATATTTATTTTTCCATAAATTTATAAAGACAGTAATAAAAATATTGTTTTTATACAATAACATAACAATTTTGAAAAAGGAATATATTCCAAAATTAAAAATAAATATTTTGAATAGAAATTTAATAAAGTTAGAAGATTTATAATATCTTTATATAATAATGAAATAATAAAATCTCGAAGTTACTAAGAAATATAATAAAGCTGATATGGATAAATAAAAAGAAAATTATAATAAATAGTAATAAAAAGTATTTTATTACATAATAAAATTAATATAAATAAGTGTAAAGTAAAATATATAAAAAAAGTCTGCAGATTTATGATGCAAGTTTATATTATTACTTTCTAAGAAAGCATTAACGTTACTTATTATTACAAGTACCAAAAACGACTTATAAATTTTAAAGCTTGTAAAAACTAATTTGAAATATAAAATTTTATGAGCACACTTTTCTCTAAAAAAAATCATTTACTCTAATTTAATTTATAGGTCTAATAAATAATTTATTCATCTTTTAGTTTTGTTACTCTATAAATAACATTTATTAATAACTTATATATTTAGTAAACTTTTTATTAAACAAGTTTATGTGCGAGCAAAAAAGCATAAACGAATTATATATTATAAATTAAACCTAAAAAACGAAGTGCTTCACGGTAAAACATCTCGTAATTTTTTTTGGCCTGAAAATTAAATTAAAATGTATTAAAAAAATTGGAGACTGGTTACCAAATTAAAACAAATCAATTATAATTTTATGTTAAAATAATTAAAACCAGCAGAAATAAATCTTTTAGTTACTATAACAGTATAATACCTTTTCATATTCCGCAGAAATTTTGAAAAAGGTTGCATGGCTACTCAAAATAATGTCAGCGTTATCCTCCACTCGTGATCTATTGATATCCAAAAGTTCCTTACAGCCGCTATAATCTTTCTTAGAAAAACAAAATTATAAAATTCTGGGTTTAAAAAAAAAATTTACGACTAAAATGTGCACAAATAATAATTTAAATTTAAAAGATATTTTATTTCGATTAGAACAGAAAGTATGTTAAGTAAATAGATAGAAAAATAATATTTAAAAAATACTTAAAAAGTAAACTAAAAACTATTTATCAAAAACCAAGACAACTTTGTTAACGGCATTCTAAAGAGAAGAATCTCTGATTAACAATCATAGAGTAAAACAGTAATTCAATATTCTCTTTACTATCAAACAACTTTAGCAGCTGAACTGCATAAAAAACGTTTTTAAGGCCAAAACAGAGAGTGTGCACTAAAACTAAAAAGTAAAACCATTATATTATGTAAAAAAAATTATATTCTCATTAATCCTTATTAAAACCACAACTTTTTACAATATAAAATAACACAAAAAAATCAAAACCGTAAATAGATTAAAAGTAAAAGTAGTTTTCAAAAGTTTAATGGTTTAAACTCTACAAGAAAATACATAAAATATATTTCAACAGTTAGGTTGCAAACAGAATAAACGAACTACGAAGTTTAACTATATATATTTAACCTTGGTGCTCTTTTAACTTTATTTCAGCAATTTTTAGTTCCACCAATATAAGAGATGCGGGCTCTTTCTTCAACTTCTCTGCGATACTTTCTAAATATTGAATACGTTGGTCTGAATCTATTGGCAATACACACAAATTGTGAATTTCATGATTTATTAAAAAAAAGGAAGTAATAAATAAAAAAACCTGAGATAAAAGATGCAACTTTAAGGACTAGTTTGGCAAGACAGTAGGAATTTATTTTAGTTTCAAAGGTTGAAATAAACTTTTCATAAAGTTCTTTCATTTCAAATTCATTTTGAAAGTAAGTGTTCTCTATTAAATCCAATAAAAAGATGGTCAACTCGTGCCATAATCTGTGGTGTTTTATACGTTTTTATTAGTTAAATAATTTATATTAACAGATGTAAATAACTAAATATATTTTTAAGTCAAAAAAAGTACCTATTTTTGTTAAGATATTGTAATTTAGTGAAACTTTCACCCAAGTCGCCCTCTAAAGAAGTACGACTATCGAGATATTCTGAAGCGTTGCTCATTACTTTTTTTTTATACAGTATATAAAATAAAATAAATAAGGTGATATTAACCAAATAACTATTAAAAAAAAGTTGAAAACAATAAAATAAAATACTTTCTCCTACCACAGTTAATATCAAGAATGTTCTCCTTGTCTTTATGTAACAAAAAGTTCGTTTTATTTTTACCGATTTCTTCTGAAGATAGTTAAGGGCATGAGCCCTCTGCTTTGACAGAAGGGGGATACGGTGGTTTCTACCGCCTACGATAATCCAGGTTTCACTATGAGTTTCATTTTTAACATGCTGGAGAAAGATTTTAAATAGTCAGTATGTAAATAAAATAAATATTTCGTACATTATGCCACTTTATAAGTGAGCTAATGGTTATCATCTATCCCATTATTAATTGATAAGTATTAAACATTTTTTCGAAAAGTCAACTTTGCAATCACCAGAAAGAAATGTGAGAAGATTAATGTACGTATATATACAGTTCAAATATTACTTAAAAATATAAATGATTACTAATGTTATGCGCAAACGGTTCGTCCCTGTAGGCACCTCAAGGACACCAATAGCGAAATTATGTTTCCCTTAATAATAGTTTACTTTTCTTTATAAATTTTAGTACTGTATCATAACATGATACTTTATTACCAACTGAGATGAAAGGGAGTAGAATAGTAGGTTTAATACACTTTAATAATAAATATGACTGAGTTCATAATGCAAACAACGTATGGTTTAACATGCTTAAACGAATGTCCCCAACTACTACAGCCTCTCTAATTGACGTTGGTGTTACCCAAGTTTGAGAGCGTTGTAATCATGGTGTATTACATCCCTACATCGACACGCAAAGTTGAACAAAGTCCTAACCGGCTGCCAGATGAATCGTAAGCCTTAGCTGAGGTCATCAACTCCACGGCACCACAACACCCTAAAGTAAACTGTGCTTAATTGACTAAGCCAACACATTAATGAGCTCTTAGATCGCTACAGCCGATGGCGAGAACTGCGTCTCTACTTCTGGAAGTCTTTTTAAAACTCGGCTGTCTGCCATAACCCCTCTGCGAGACTGCGACTCTATGGCGGAATACGACGTACACAAAGCAACATTTTTTGTTGGACACCTCGATACTTAGTTTGTTCCACCTGCTTCCTTAGTTGCAGAATACTCTCTGACGGCCCCGACGCATGCAGAGAATGCCGATGGTGGCAATGGAGCATCTATGCTGCCTCGTCAAGTTGACTGTTGCCCTCGGCTTTTGGTCAGCGATTGGGAAAGTAGCTGAAGCAGCCATAATGCGCTACTTAAAAGTGTTTGTTGAGCAAGTAATGATCTCCCAGGATTCCAATTTAAATTTCAGCAAGAGCAGTCAGAAACGCAACAGTTCTTACGTATACGCAGCTGATATGACTATTTACTCCTTGCCAAAGACGTCGATCTTATTGCGCCAGCATCTGCATTGTTACCTGGTCACGAGCTACAACTAATGTCTTCGTTAGATTACTAAATAGCGCATTGCACCACCGCTGTTGCCGGCCTTTAAAGGCCAGGTAATCTCATGGTACCTCTAGTCAACATATAATTCTTAAGTCATCATTTGACAGTAAGCGGACATGGCAACCGCACGTTAACTATGTAATGACAATGACAAAAGGCGCAAATCAAACTTTGTTTCCTTCACTTTGTGCCGAAAGCGAACCTGAGTTGCACATGCCACGCTTGTATGTACTGTGGATTCAGCCAATCATGACATACACGTTTGCTGCAGAGGACTACAACTTACTTGCAATGGCGTCTTGCCTCAGACGCTTTGTTTGAAAAACGATGCTTTACAGTAAGGCTTTTAGCTTAAATCCCAAGCTTCCTTTTTTTATTTAATTCTATTACTGTCGAAATTAACTGCAACTCCATAAGGGCGCTCCACAGATGGGCGCGATTAATCCGTTATAAGGTACAAGTTCGACAATTGCCAACTGCAAGCAGCTTACCAAAAACATTAATCAATTACTAGAAAAAGAGCTCTGTTACGAACCGTGGGATAGCCCACGGTTTCGTCGCCAGCGTTTGTTGTAATTATAATAGGGTTAGGGCTGAAAGTAACATAATATATAGGAGATTGCTTTGATTTAAATTAAATTTTTTTATTATACAAATATAATTAAACGCTGTCCATTTACCCATGCCCCTTGCTCCCCCAGAGTTAAAAATTTACCTTTAGCATTTACAAAATTAGTCATAACAAAAGCCCTGCATTAAAAGTTTACAGTTAAAGGTTTCATCCTTTAGTTGTAAGTGCACGTTGCAGCAGAAGAAGTAGGTAAAACTTTTACGGTTTGACTTAGCAAAAAAACAAACTAACAAGTTATGCAAAGGTGATGTTGAAACTCTTCTAACCCGAAATACTATATGCACTATCAAGCTCTAAGGACGAGAAAGTGAGAAACTTTTTAATTTCGGAAACTTACTTGCAAATCAGTTCTTTAGTAACTTATAAAATTTTAAACATTTAGGTCAGCTTCATTATGTCCAATTAAATTTTATATTTTTATTACGAAAAACTGACATTGGGAAAGGCTTAAATTTTATATATGCCGTTGTTTGGGTAGTAGCGTAAAACCAAAAAAAAAAACGGCAATATTTGGTTTGGAAGCTAAGTGTAGCTTACTAAAGTTAAGATATGGGTGCATGTTATTTGAACATAAGTCGTTATTGGTTTCATATATACAATGCGGAAAGTATTTAAAAAGACATCTGCGTTATCTAAGTTAACCATACACTTGGCATGTATAACCTTAAAATAGTCAAAAGCAGAACTTAAAAAAGCAATATTCTCTTCACACTCAGGTAGGTAACTAAGATGACCCCCTGCTTGATCTATTTTAATTCCGAAGACTACCATTAAAATTTCCTCGATAAATACGTCTTTTTAGTTACTGTCTAGCGGGGAGGCATTGCTGGTGGGTGGTCTGTCCAAAGCTCAGGTCTAGTACATACCAAGCTGAATGGCAAGAATATTAAGGACGTAGAGAATAATATAGAAAAATATGAAGAAATTATATGTATATTGTTTTAAAGATTCCTCGGTAATCAAACTTGGAGGCTTAAACGCTAGTAAATTGCTATGATGCATTTTTCAAGTTAAAAGACTGAAAGTTATTTAATTAAAGCCATCTGATTTAAAAAGTGAGATTATTGCACTAGCGGATCATATATATAAACATTAATAAAAGATTTGTGGAATTTTCCTCCTACTTCGCGCTTCTTTGCTTTATAGTTGTTCGTTTTAGCTGCAGGGCTTAGTAATTGATTAAAAACTCGAACCAAAACCAATCAACAAAATAAACTAAATTAGTGATTTAAAGGTTACTAATAACACCCAGTCTTATTTGTTAAAATATATATACTTAAACAAAAACAACATTGAAATATATTGAAAAAACAAAATAAAGAGACAGAAAGAGATAATTAGATTACAGGATGCGGTCCTTTTAAGTTTAATATATCAGTAAATATTGTATATCTAAATTGGTCCATAATTATAATTGAATGAGTATTGAATAAATACTTTTTTATGATAAAGTACATTGTATTATTAATTTAAAGTCACGTTAAAGAGCTCCACACCTCCACTTACACTCTACGGGGAGGCCTGGCCGGTGTCTCCAGGTAGCCTCGGGTTTAGTGTCTAAGACAGTCTCTTGCGGTCCCCATCACATGGGAGCCCGGGTTGTACATCTCTTACCGCTTTTTCAATCCTCTATAAAGTCATTATAGCTTTAATAAGTGCGTGCACTGTTAAGCACTAGAGTCCCCACTCTTATAAAAGAGCGGTTCAGATCATGCGGTTCCAGGTTTCTTACGAATCCTGTAGGGCGAGGCCTAGTATGCCAGTGTACAAATAGTAGGAACTATTAATAAGATCGACAAATTAGGTGCGGACTTGATTTTATTACCATTAATAGCAAAAATCTTTATATTCTCTATTGTCCAACTAAAAAATGTAATTTTGTTTTTTTATAGTTTGCGGCCGTTAATTAAAAAAAACTTATTGTGGAAATTAATATAGTTGTGCGGTTGCAAGTTCTATTTTTTGATATTCAATTCATAAAATTAATACTATTTAGCTTAATTTTTTTTTTTGGTCTTCTAAGTAAAATTTTAATTTTCTTATCTTGCACTTCTTATGGTTGCTTTGTGGTTGCTAGTACACTTATCCGCTGGTATAGAAGAATTAGTTTTTATATCCCTTTAATCAAATCAACATTTTTGATATTAAAATCCTCGCAGCTTCTTTTCGCTTTCCTCCTTTTTATGTACATAAATCTTTTTTGCAGAATTATATTTTTCCTATTTATAAAGTTCTCTCTATTATGCTAACGCTCCCCTTTAGAAAACTTTTTAATATAAAGCATCAAAAACTCAGCTTATTTCTTTTAGGCTGCAAGAACCTCTTAAATGTAATAAAATAAGGTGTTAGGGTTTAAGAGGAGAGCCTGAAAAATAAAGTGGTGCAAAATCTCAAATTTCATTGGTCTTTGGGGACACAGAGTGATCAACGAAAGTTTTTTAATTTTATGGGTTTAAAGTTTGTGCTATCTAATTAAACCAAGTATCCTACAAGTAAAGGTAAAATTAAGGTTGTAATCTGCGTCACTAAAAGCATTTCCATTAAAATAAAAAAAATTACTTTTTTTAACATTACTTACACAATTCTTGCTTAATCTTTTAACAACACATTCAAACGTAAATCCTTCTATAAGCTATAATACCACGACCCTTTTTTTTAATGGGGGCCTTCTGTGCAGTACTTCCATCTTTAAAGCAAGTTGCTCTTATCTATCTCAAGTTGGGCGATGCCCCCTCCAAATACTGGTGTGACCTTAACGCATTTTCTCGTAGTTACACTTAGATTGTTACTTATTTATAAATTTCTAATTAAACTTTACGGCCTTGTTTTTTTCGTAAATATCAAAGATTCGTTTGGCCCCTATAACTCTGGTGATCTGAAAATAGTCTCCACGCTAAAGTTTGTAAAGTCGTGCAATGCAGAATGCTAACTCCAATTACCATTCCAGTTTACAATTCAACTAAAAATACCGAAAAAATAAAGTGTGTAAGCCAGAAGTGTAACAGAAGAAGCAGATCCAAAGCAAATGTACAAAAGTTTTAAAATATAAGATGAATAGGAGAAAGTACGACAAAAATACATTTTTCGACTCTGCCCTTAGAGTAAAAAGAGAATGCTTTTTTAGGCAGTACTATAAAAATGAAGAACGCGATTTAACTTAGTAGTATTAAAATTTAAAAATTGAGGCCACTATACCATATTAAGAAGTGACTGACTTCGGTAGTGTTTTACTTATAATAAAAGTGTTAAACAACTTGTTAAAGTTAAGCGGTAGTTCAGGGAGTACCAGTCAATTCAGCGAAAGTTATAATTTATTAGAAAGAAATTTCACCAAACACAGACTTGACTTCGCTTTAGCGCTCTTTATCAAGCTAAAATAGTGTTAGTAGTAATAAAATAGTAAAATATTAAAATTATTGGAATAAATTTAATAAAGTTTTAACATAAAAGAAATAATAAGAAATAATAAAAAATAGGGAAAAAAGGGAAAAGTACACTAGAGAGCCATGTATAATATAAAAGAAATTTTTTTACAAATATAAACGACAAAAAAATTAAGTTTCACTCACGAAAAATTAAATAGCGTTATAATTATAAGAAATAATATAAAGTAAAGTAGCAATGAACATAACAATTCTCAATGCTTTAAATACAAACGATAACACTTTTTATAAATAAAGTAGAAAATAATAGAAATATATTATAAAATAAAAGTAAACAATAGAAAAAAAACATTTATAATAAATTTAAATCCAGCACTCTACAAATAAGTAATTGTAAAGTGATTTTCTTTCACTTAATTTTTTCGATAAATACAAATGCAAACATCTTTTAGTAGTAGATCGTATTCAGTTTGGCTTAAAGGTTGAATTTTCTCTTCCTATAATAAAGATAAACTCTACATTAGTGTTGCTTAACTTTGAAATTGCATCAAATTACAGCTAATTAATTTCAATTAAAAAAAAAAATTACATACAATAAAAAAAAAGTCACAATATTCATACAGTAAAAATCTCTTTGTGCAGAAAATTTTATACAAAGTTAATTAAATTTTTAAAAGGCATAAAAATAAACTAATTTATAAAAAAAAATTCAGTTAATATTTTAAAGAACAAAGAGGACTTTCAAAAAAATCAAAATAGCTCACCTCTGCGTCCGTCATAAGTGATGCAAGATAGGCTTTCCACATCGTTACAAGATCCTCAGCGGACTCGTCAATAGTAAAAATTGATAAAAGCTTTATCAAAACAATCAAATTTAGTATACAAAAAAAATAATATTCAATATGTATAAATCTCTTTTAACAATAAAATTTTCTAAATTATGTATAAAAATGTGACTTTATTTAGTCCGAAGACGATCTCGGTAGAAAGTTGGTGAGAACGCTCAGTCACGCCTTCAATGAAACTTCTCACGGCATACCAAAGCCACGCATTCTGGGCTAACAGCTCTGAAAAATTTACTTATTAACTTTACACTATAAACGTTATTGCTTGTTTTTAATTTAAAAATAAGTACTTTTTTTTCGGAACGACTAAAAGTTTTACGATATTCAAGCACATTTCAAAAATTATATAAAATAATAAACACCTTTTTTAACGGATTCGCATATTTTTATGATACAAAAAATACTCGCCCCCAATAGGTCTTCGCACTATAATAGAAACAAGTTCAATATATACTGATAGTAACATAATAATAAGAAAGTATTACGTCGTGAAATTTGTTTAATGCAATCCAGAGAACTTCACGTACTTCTCTAAAACGCCATCGCATAAAGAAGGGCCCAAAAGGAAAGTTTATTCGAAACGGAAAGTCTTCGCTGGATTCTGTTTCGGTCTCCCTCAGCGATAAAACTTCACTTAAAAAGTTCATGGTAGCCTCTATGAAGAAGAGCAATGAAAAATATTTGTAAAATTAAACATATAATTACTGTTAAGTTATAGACTTTTTAATTTATTATTGTGCTAATTAACTTAAAAAAACTGTATAACCCCCAACACCAAATACCATAATATAAAACTTAAAAATAGGTCACCAACAATCGGAACTCTGATACTCAATAGTTTAGGCAAAAGGGAGCGGACGGGGATTTCAGAAAAACTTTTAAATAAATTCCATCTTTAATTATGTAGCGAATTATTAACGAATGCGGAAAGCTACTGGCTTGTTGCCTCGCTCGTCTTTGAAATGTTAAACTTTCTTGATAAGTGTAAAAAGTCCGTCAAAAGAAGAAGAACAAGCCATGAACTTTTGGCTCCTATTTTAAAATATATTTAAATTCTGACTGAAAAAATAAAATTATGTATATAAAAATTAAATAAAAAATTATTATAATTGAAAATAAATTGTATGCAAAAAAGTTGAGTAGAAAAAATTCAATGTTTTCTAATATTATAATACCGAATTTATCCTTATAAAGCAAAGTTTTGAAAAAAATATTTATGATCCTTTTATTTCCAATTAGCTGTATATAAACTTGACTGGCGTTATTGTCGTAAAAAAGCCAAATAATAATACTAATAATATAATAAAGAGAGAGAGAGCGTTTTCTTATGTATATTTGCTTTTATATTTTTTTGATACCTTTTTTTTGGACGTCGTTTGCAGAACACTCAATAAGAAAATGGAAGAAAAGAATAATATATTCAGTGACTTCGGAATCCAAACTCTTCCTTTCCACAATATAGCAAACTTCAATAATAATAAAAATAAAAAATAAAAAGTTGATCGCAAAAAAAAAAAGAGTCTTTACGTTTTGATATGGCGCTCGTCGGCACGTAAGTAACTTCAAAAAATTGGAAGCAACAAATTAAGGCTTTTATTACAGAGAGAAGATCATCTGAATTAAAATTATTATTGTTAAGAAATTTTAGTATTTATAAAAAAGGAAGTTACGCTCACTCATCTCGTTTAAAACCTCCAGACGCTCATAGAAGGCAGCGATCAGTGGATACTGCCTAAGATAAGAAAAGCAACACGAGCACAAAATAGATTCGAAAGAATGCTTCTCAAATATTTCAAAGAAGAGCTTTTTGGGGGAGGAAACTTGCAAAAAGCACTAATAAAAATGCTTATTATTCATTGATTATGATAACTTTTACAAAATGCTAATAAAAAAACAATACAAAGAGTAATTAAGATTATAATTATAGAATGTCATACTTTAATAAACAGATTAAATCTACGTTACACAACAAAAACAATAGTTCTATACAACCTCCATAATTTTCCGAAAAAAGTTTATGGCAGGTAACGAAAACATTGTGTTCCTTGATAATATAAGTTCCTAATATGTTAAAAACTTTGCAATACACAAAGTACGAGCACAGAAAAAAATAATAATAAAAGGATTTCACGAAGGGGTAGAGCCAACAATCGCCTTACAATAAGTAACTCAAGGAAGCAGTGACGATGAAAAGTTTCATGGAAGCAAAGAAGAACAGTCAAAGTTTCTACGGGTTGCTCAAGAAACTGTCCAGTGTCTATAAAAGGATAATATTTTATAAAAAGATTTATGTAGATTTACAAACAACAACAATAATAAATATTTATAAAGATTGAGCCAGTAACCCTCCATGTAAGGTACACCCAAATTTAGTTTTCTTATATTTTACCGTTAGCAAACTCTAACTTTATATACGTAATACAGCACATGATAGGATTAACTGAATGAAAGTGTCATAATATTCTGTGTATAAGCTGTAAACTTGAAAAAAAAGATCAAAGCCCGCCATAAGTAATCAGGCCTTCAGTTATGGTGAAATTCTCCCTTACTAGAAATTCTATAGTAACTCCACTATAGGTTATACCTGCAACTTTCCTGTAGAAGCTTTTATTTATAAAAACCAGAGAATTATCCAAAGAGCAACTCTATACGCTGCGTACGTACCCTACCGTAGCGGCCAACGCCGTGTTGTCTGGCCTGTATGGAGAGACCAGGCGACCCCACTAGACACCTGGACTTCCTGAGCCCCAAACTTTTTTTTAATCTCGCTACTCCTGCGCTTACATATTGGTAATAGCCTTAATCTAAACATAAGGCATACCAGTGCGTTGACGTAGACTTTTAATAAATTGACTCTGAAGGCAATTTTCTAACCAACAAAAAAAAAGAGAAACGCCTAAGTAAAACGCAGACCACTTTGTGCTATCGTCCACGCCTCCTTGTGCAGTGGTAAGTCTAGTAGAGTTTTTGATTTATGAAAAGGTGTGCCTTAGATGGAGGTAGTATAAACTAAACATGACTCACTATTTTTTCCGCAGACACGAGATTGAGAAACTGTGGTATCAGAACAATATTGGAAATTCGCCATCAGGTAAAGCGCCTTCATAAATATAAGCGAGTAAAAAAATAAAACATAAGCTTAACCGGGTTGCCGGAAAATATAATATTTATTGAGTAAATATATATATTTTCTGTTGGCGCTATTATTTAAGATTAACCATTAATAGTTCATAATTATAGTGAGGTTAAAGTCAGGTAGTAAATGGTATCCAAAGAGAGGATAATTTTTAAACAAAGTAAAATAATAATAGAGAAAAAAGATGTGACTTTGGCAACGTTAATTGGCCAAAAGTGGTCACGTGATTTCTTCTCAAAGCTACTGACATGTTAACTTGAGTAATTCTAGTGTTTTTTTTACCCTTTCGCATTAACAAAAACTAAAGTTTAGCATTATTATTACACGCATACACATTCAAAATTTATATTAACAGTTCATCACTTTAACCAGACACTCGAATAAGAGCAGATAAAACAAAGAAATTAAAATGATACCAGGCATAAACGGGTTTGTATGCAAATATGATCGTAACTGAAGACCCACGAGACTAGATGTTTGGAATAATCCAATACAGAGAGGGTCACGTGGTTAAGTCTTTCAAAATCTACCATAAAGTCAATAGTAATAATAATAAAAATAATAATAAAACTCGCGACCTGGGAGAGAACTTATTAAAATTCCATCCATAGCACATTTCTTATTATTATTATGATTATGATTCTCATTAAGTTTTATATGACTTACAGAAAACAAGTCCAGTGCAGATAAATAGTGAATATCTTCCTGAAATAAACATTTTTTCATGTAGCAAATCGTTGAATCTGCAACCATTTGAATAAGTTCGCTACTATTAATGATAAAAATATAAAAAAAACTATAATACTTCTCATCACAGGTTATAAAAATAGCTTTAAAAATAAAGTAAAAAATGGTATTATATATTTGTACAACCAGTTAATTGTAAAGAAAAAATACAGTTATGAATAAAACTTTCGATACCTTTTAAAGCCAATTCCAGTTCCCTGCATGAAACAATGCATAAGAGAGAGCAAAGCTTTTTCGTAACGAGCCCCTGGACTCATGTTTCTATACACTTCTATATAATTAACGCCCTCTATTTATAATAAAGTATTTAACATATCAATATATTAATCATAACCCCGACTTTTATATTGTATACATATATACACTTGATAATATTTCAGTATAAATATATAAAACTTGGCAGAAACGGGAGTCCTTGAGCGATGGAGTCGACGATCCACTGAGCTCTCGTCTCTGTGGCTGGCAAAGTTTTCCAAGGGGAACTGTAGCACACCACTCGAGACAAAAGGCAGAGATGGTCCTTTAAAAGATCAAAGTGGAGCCCCACATTACTAGAAGAATAGAGAAACACTCCGAGATATCCAAGGAAAACTATTGGCAAAATATACATAGGTGTAAACAGATGGTGTAATACTAAAGTTTGCTTGGAAAGTTTATAATACTTTGCAATACTACAAGATGTGTTCAAATAACATAATAAAAATATACTAACTAAAAAATAAAAAGCTTTACATAAAAAGTTTAAAGTTTAAAAGGTTACGCAACTATACAGTCATTTATGTACAAAAAAAAATAATACAGTTTCCTATAGTTCATTACTAACAATAATTTTTGAGTAAATAGTTGAACGGATACTAAAATTGTGAGTAAAAAAAAAAAACCAAATAAGATACTCCATATTACCAACATTGTAGTGGTTTCCCAAAAAAACTATAAAAGATAAATGTTTCTTAAAGATTAAACATAAATGTTAGTTTGTTAATAAAAATTCACTATCACTATATAATAAAAATAAAATTAATACAGAAATACTGAAAAAATAGGAGAAAGTAATGTAAATATGACGAAAAAAATATTATATATCATCAATTCTTTTATCAAAAAATAAGATTTTAAGCATTATATCAAATTATTTAATATAAATGAAAATATTGATATAATAAGAATAACACTAAAAAATTTGCATGAGTATATCAAATTATTAGTTCTGTAATAATAGGAACTCAGCTTATTATATATATAAATATTCCTATAAAAACTCCAAAGTACCCTCACAAGGGCTAAGAATAAAATTATAATAAGTTAAACGGTACATTAAGACTACTATTTCTACAAAAAATCCACAACAGTTATGTGTTTAAGTAATATTCAAATAAATTTTAAAGTCCGTTGCATACTTAAATCCTCAAGCCTATTATATTATATATATAAAGTAAAAGTCAGCCACACATAATCGTCATGGTTATAAATATATACACCCGTTATATATTAAATTTATAAAGCTCATTAAAGACGGAAAAACTATTTAAAGGGCAGAAGAATGTTCATTTTTAATTGAAAATGTAAACATAATTTAGTAAAGATTCGACTTTCATATAAAAAAGTTGGAAATCATATACGATTGGTAAATAACTTTAAAGAACAATAACCCACCAATGGATTTCCGTAAAGTTGAGAGTAAGAAGGTTAATGTTTTCAATGTAAAGAGATAAAAGATCAGCATTGGCCAGTAAATGCTCAAGAGGCTGCATGATTAGTTGTTGATATGCACATTAGCCAGCTCGTATAAAGTAAGCTGAATTATATTACAAAATATATTTACAAGAAAAATAGTGTCAAAAGCATCAATAAGAAGTTTGCGGAAAGAGTCAACTATTTCTGAATGGTTGGATCCTTTTAGCTGCAATTTTATTAATGAACAACATAAACTAATAAGTATAGTTTACTAAATTATTACTATTTTTTTAACTTTTTTATTTTTCTTAATGTAAAACTCTAAACAGTTACAGCTTATACTTGCTGTATATATTGATATATACAAGTTTTACCCTATCAAAGTAAAAGGTAAACAGTACTGTGTATAAAAATAAAGAGGATCAGAAGCACAAACTAATAAAAAAAAAAGTATAGGATTTTGCTTTTGTTGACTGAGTAAAAAGGTAGACCAACGAATTCAGTTCTGCAGTCATATACGAAAGCAACGCCTTCATGAAAACCAATTGCAGTTCAGCATCGCTGAGCTCCAGCGCTTGAGAAAATAATAGCCGGAAGGACTCCATTAGTCCGCCAACGTCCGCGTTATGAGGCACAGTAGCATTTTCATCGTGAACCTGCTCGAAGTTCTTTGTGTTGGATAGAGTTAGATAGTACAGAGCCTCCAACGCTTCCTACTTTGTTGTTATCATAAAAACACGCTTAAAAGTCGATAACAATAATGGATGGCGCACATGTTTATTTTCAATGACTTTGGTTGTGGAAAGTAAAAAAGCTTTCAAAAGACTGAAAGATACCACATCGAAGAGCCTCATAAGTGAAAAGGAAGAGCTTAAACTGTTAAATATATATATAAAAAAGGTGTTTATAATAATAAACCTCTATTAGCTTTACGTTATCTTTAAAAGACAACTTATACACATCACTACAAAACATGATTTTCAATTTACTCTTAACCGATCCAGAACTATTATTTCTCGGATTAAAGGTATACTCTAGTAATAAACTTAAATGCACATGTTGTAAAAAATTAACAAACTTTCTGAGGGTGATGCCTATTAGCTCAATAACCAAGGACAACTCTTCCCCATACTCTCCATGAGACAGAAAGTTCATACCGGCACGGAATAGTAACAAGCAACCTGAAATGGAAGGCTAAACTGCTACCGGGCAAAGCATGGATGAAAAGAGCATAAAACTACCGATAATAGCTCGATCGTGCTCGTAAAAAGTATCATAACGTGAAAGCAGTTTGATTATCGAAAGTCCACGTCTGGTAAACAGCAGTATTATAATAGTAGATTCGGCGTTTACAATGTTACAAAAACAATAATAATAATCTTCAGCGGTAGAATATTTTCAAATATGCAATATACATAATAAAGAAGAACCGAAAACCTTAAATTGGACTCCGCTAAAGAACTCAACGCTTCAAAAATATATTCTATAAGTTTAAAAAACATTAATCCAAAGTATATATAAAATTTATTCTAAATTATGTGATTAAAAAAATTAAATAGCGGTGCGCTTTTAAATCTCCAAAATTAATAATTTATTAAACTAATTGAGTTCAGTATAAAGCAAAACAGTAGGAGTCTAAAGTGAATCTAAAAAATTCTGTTATAAATAGAATATTTTTTACCACATAAATCGTTTTTGATTATAAAATCCACGGAAGTGGGTTCGAGGAGACATTGAGTGTAAACAACTGAAAGGGCGAGTGAGTTCCTGTACTGATCATAGTCGGCAAGCGCTTTCTTTAAAACTTTCGAGACAATAACAAATTCAGCTAAAAAAAAATTATTGAAGTACATTGCTATAATAATCTTCCAGAAAACATTAGGAAAAACTTTATCAAGTAATAGTAACCCCGAAGAAGACGCCAGAAGACTTTTTATCACTATTTTAACCGCACAAAAAACAAAAGAGCTGGCGCACGTGCAACATGAAGACATATAAGTTTAGAAGACTCACTTAATTAAGACTACTGAACTTGGCAGTTCGCTATAACAACTTTAATAAAATAGCCTCGAAAAAATATGTCGCAGTAATAAGCGAGTAATCGATTAGTATTAGTCACGAGTGTACAGTTCATTAATTGATAAAGTACATGTTCTATCGCTAGTATAATAACCACCCCTGTTACCAAAAAACATTCACTTCTCAAATAAATATTATAAAAATAGCAAACTCTTTAAATATAAAAACACTACAAGTACCACAAGTACCTTCAGTAAATTGGAAGGAAATATTGTTGCGCGTTATACAAAAATTCAAAATTTCTAGTTTCATTGAAATTTAAATAATAAGAATTAAAGATAACCCTCAACTTTTATAAAAAGAATCACTACAACGATTCTATTAATGGAGATTACCCAGAACCCCCGTTAGTCGCTCATCTTCAAAATCTGGTATTTTGTACAAAAAAGCTCTTACAAAAGTATGAAGCCTTGCAGGAATACAGTGGAGGCCCAGTGAAGATACACAGCAGGATGACAAACACTTTTAAAAACACAAAAAAAAGGTGTATAAGTTTAAAAGTAATTTATTACCTTATAAAACCGTAAAAATAAAATTAACTTCTTAAAAAATTAATAATTAGTTTTTTCTATTAAATAATAGAAGCCAATATATATTATATTTAACTTTATATTTTTTTTTTGAGCAAAAAAAAATATTACATTAAATACTGATAATTTTTTATGACCAAAACTAAAATTACTTATAAATGGTTTTCTTTTGTAAAAATTCCTATAAGTATAAAATTGTTATAAAAACTTTATACGTCCGATAAATAAACATTCTACAACTTTCTTTGACTCGTAAAGAAGTATACATATCCAATTTTAAACAAAATTTTTAAAAACAACTTGTGCTTAAAAAGGAAAGCGAATAGCAAAAGTTTAAGGATAAATTCAAAAAAGTTATATGTTTGTGTTTTCTCCATAACGTAATAAAAAATAAAAATAATATTAACAAACAGTTAGTAGAAAACCCAAATATCAGTAATCAAAAAAAATTAAAGTACGTATAAAGCAGCTGCAAACAATTTGCTTTCAGAATCACATTTTTCGACCGTGTAAAGCAGTCTAGAAGCTAATCTCCCTGTTTTTAGAAAAATAATTCACACCAAACTTTTACTTTAGCTGTTTCGTACCGTGAGAATCTAAATTATTTAGTTGGTAGTCCACTTGCCTTACTATCTCCCCATAAACCCGATAAACGACTGGAGTGTTCTCAGTTTCAACAGTGATAATTATCTGAGCAGTTCGCAAACGAGTTAATATTATTTAATTGCCTTTTCCATACTTAAAAAAAATTTAAAAAAATAAAATTAGAATTTTTGTACAGTCAATACGAAAATTACTTGGCTATATAAGAAGACTAAGGCAAGAATAAAAGTATAAGTATACCTTATAAGCAAGATCAGACAGTATAAATCGTATTATTGCTTCATCTTTACTGGCTAAATATTTTAAAACTGACAAATTAAATGTTATTTAGATTTAACGGGGAATCACCCAAGTCTTTAGATTAAAGTAAAGCAAAGCTAAAAAAAAAAAAAATTAAAATATTACTTTTCAAGACATTCTCCTTTAGGGCTTCAACCAACAATAAATCTTATTTATAGCAGTAAATAATATTAGACAATTATTTATTATTGGAGACAGAAGACTTGGAAGACGAACCAAACAGTATATGGATTAAGCGTTTAATAGACTTCCAACATAAAAGAACTTTTTCGTGGCTTAACTTAAGTAATAAATCCTGAAGTGATAAATTTTTTCTTGTCAATAAATAGTTATCTGATTTTAAAACATCGAAATATTCATCCAGTTTCAGACTCATATTTAATTATTCGCAACGTAAACAAGATTCTATCAAGTTCCAAAGCTTATATATACTTATAGAAAAAAAAGTGCCTAAAAATTTTTTTATTAAGTAAACTTGTAGTAAAAGTCTTATATTCTACAAACAGCAGGAGAAGTACAAACATAACATATACTTATATGTTTGGGGCGCTTGAAAAATAGTGATCTAAAAAATTTTATAAAAAAAAATAATGCAACTTATATATAAAGTCTCAACTATTAAAAAAGTCAATAAAACTCAAGCTAGTAAAAGTCGAAATAGCGGACCTGAAGAAAGTAGTGAAGTTGTAAACATAAACATCTCATTGAAAAATGAGTTCGATCCGTAAGATAGCGAACTCGAGAGTCTCCTACCAACTCATCTCCCGCTTTTTAGAGCCAACAAAGCTCAGGCTTTTCAGCGCCATCAAGAATTTCCTTTTAAAATATACTTAACAGGGTACAAACGACATGTAAAATAAAAAAAGAACAAGTATAAACTGCATTACTAACTAAAATTCTTATTCTTTTTATATATATTTGCTCTAACAATCCTTAAAAGGATGAAAATGACACCACTGTGATTATCCATGGATTACTGCTATAAACTCCGCACAATAGCTATAAAAGGAGGCAGGTCTGGATTTTAACATTTTCACTAATTTTTAAATAACAATAAATCCTTGTAAGTTGATTCATGTCTAAAAAACTTAAACTTTAGCCCTGTGAGCAACTTAGGATTATTTGATAACATCTCTTTTTTGGTGCTCGAAAACTAAGTAGCTTGGTGTAATGATTGACCATTCAAGCAGAACGCTCACTTAAGCTACCTAACTTAAAAATTAAGACTATAAGTAACGTTTTATACCCTTAACTATGCGAAAAGAGCGAGTTAAATAATACTAACAAACTACTTTTTATCTCATATAAAAGAGTGGTCTATAACTTCTATGTAATATATTCTTTCGCTGTATATAAACGCCCCATGATTTATAAGAAACTTGCATCTGCACCGAGACTGTAAGATTGAGTTTAATAACGGAAAGAATCAAAAAAACGCAAAAAAATGCTTTGAGCGGGCTAGCGCTCACTCCAACAATTGCTATCAACGATAATAATCTATAATTCTTTGTAATTTACCAAAATGGAAGACCTAAGAACCTGTTGAACTTAGTAATATACATAAAATACTAACATTTACAAACAACATACACATGAACATTAATAAACAAAAAACAAAAAAACAAAAAACCACACAAAAATTGTTCTTTAAGATAATCTAAATAATAAGCATAAACTAATTATTTATAGGGTTGATTTTACCAGCTTAATGTACAAAAAGTATAATATAGCCCTATTGCAAAAAAAAAACTCTGTAATAATTTATTTGATAATTTTCAAGTTGCACCACCTAAAGTTAACAAACGAAGAGAAGAAGAAAAAAGTACCCTTTTCCTTAAAACCGATGAGGTTCCCTCAAGCGCTCAACCCTCACATTACTTAAAGCAAAACTACTAATTCAAACATTTCGGAAGGAGTTGATATTACAGGCAGGGAACCCTCGAGAAGAAATATAAAACAAAAACGTTATATAATATAATAATAAGATATACTATAGGCTTTAACTTCAATGTGATACATTTATATGATCCAAAAACGAAAAGCGCTGTAGAAATTTAGTGTAGGAACACCAAACCAATTTTTTTTTTTTACAGGAAGTAACAAGAGGGTTAAAAAAACAGAAGCAGCGCTTGAAAGGGTGCATTTATGAGTGCGTGCAGCCCTCGACCCTTCATATTACACACACAGGAGATACTTTTTTTTAATTATGTATATTTTTATAAACTAATATAGCCTTTACTAACTTTAGTTTTTCTTTTAAAAGAACTAACAAACGCGTTTATTCGCATAACCTAAAATTATATAAACGGGAAAAAGTATCCCTTTGTAAAAACATATAATTGACTTGATTGCCTTAACACATCTGACTCCCTTTCTTTTGTTCTCGTCTTCTCTGTTGATGGTGTTAACAAACTTATCTAGTTACACTGACAAAATAATTACTAGAATAATCTGCGAACGAAAAGTATGTACATATCTGTTCGACCTTTAACGTATTACAATTCATAACACAATGCAATGGTTTTTCACAAGCATACCACAAAAAGAAACTGAAAAACTGAAGGTTTTTATCAAAAAATTAATCTTTATGAAAACCGATTTACTACAAGGGGCTATTAATGAACAAAAGGCTTACATAAACAAGCATGTTGTATTTCCTATATTCCCTACAGGAAATTGAATGATTGACTCTTTCTTAGCCAAGAGTATTGCCTAAAAGAAACCTATTTTTATGTAAATACTATAATGCAAGTTTGTTAATTTTTTTTTGTACTCTTTTGAGATAACATTTATAAGTCATAAGAAATTACTACTTTTATAAGTGTAATTTAACTGTGCAATCCAATGTCCAACTCGCTGAGCTACGAGCTATAATGAATCAAAATCTACTAGTCAATAATTTTGTTGCTTCACCGGTTAGTAAACTGGATCGTTTTCTTTTTTTCATAGTCAGATTATACATATAATCCCTGTGAATTTCCCTAAAAGAATAAAAAACCATTTAAGTCGGTTTCGACTCCCCTCCGCTTTGTAAAAAATTTTTACCACCTAATTAATGTAATAATCATTTCACTTTTTATATATGTAAGCTTGACTTAACGGCCTGTGACTACTTGGTTCATGCCATTATTAATACGCTCCATGTTTTTTAGATTCTGTTTTCCTTCATAAATTTTTTTTTTATAGTTAGTTTTCATGCACCTTAAAAGTTTAGAGTAATTAAATGAATTTCTCGGTCCCTAAATTATGTCAATTAACTTATACTTAACGGCCTATAATATATTGTAGTGGGTTTTTAGCAGAGTCCCACTACTTCTGACCAGATGCCGAGAGTCCTGTACCATTTCTACTACCTTTTAATTCCTCAGATCACTTATGATACTTTTGCAGGGGAACGTTTAGGCGCTAAGCGTCTGCGTTGTGATTGTGGGCGTGCTTAGCAAGGCTAATCAGTCCGCGCTTGATTTTACTAAGCGTCTGCATAAATTCTCATTTTAAAAAAAAGTTCTAGATTAAGCAGTCGACATTGCCGAGCTTATGCGAAAGAATAGAATGAATTTATCCTCCAAAAGCTTTTCTTTATTTAACAATCGTTTAAAATCTCTACTTGGACAGGTTCGGTTATCTTTTATTTAGTTTTTTTTAACGTAATAAATTATTTGTGATCCAATTAAAAAAACGGTAAATAATATTGTTTTAGACAATAAAATAAGTGTTAAGCTTTAAACCTAATAGTTTACGTATCCGGTTTATTTAGTTTTGGCATCAATCTCCGAAGAAAGAATTTAAGCAGCTTTAAAACTCTTTTAAGCAATACGAAAAGGTTACAATATATATATAATATATATACATTTTCGAACGACCGAAGCTAATTTAAAAAAATATATGCTAAAGTGATCGTTCATGGCTGTATTATAAAAAGTCAACTTTACAGAGTTATTGTCAAACTTGTTACATCGGTTTATTTTATATTAGTACCCTTCTTATAAAATTATAATATAAACATTAATAAATCGCTCATACTTTCTATCTCCAAAAGTACAGATCAGAACACACATTTATATTGGTATAGGTACTATATTTCTTTCGGATGGAATCATCCATGAAGCACAAAATTAAAATTAGTTAAACATCACTTATTAGTTCAAATATAGGGAATATATTATGTATAGCGATAGTATAAAATTATATAAGTAACCCACAGTTGCACAAGCACACATAAAAAAAAAACTGGAAGGGTCACTAAAAGTTATTAAACCTATTTATTTTCGAAAAAGCAAAGTAGTTCGAACATTGAAAGGCTACAAAAAATACCAATTCTGTTTGCCAAAAAAGTTTTGTAAATCTAGTATGGTTAATTTCAGAATATTTTTCTATTTAGTTTTTATAAATAAACATAAAATAATTCCTTTTTAGTTTTAATAAGAGCAAGACAAAACTACAATGCTCTTGCTCTTTAACAAATATAAAAAAACTGAACCGCTAAAGCAAAACTACTAGGCAAAAGCGTTACATTGCACTAATTACACTCAGGTTCCCATATTATACCGCCATTTACAAATAATTGATGGCTATCGCCACATGCGAACCACGGAAAAACACGTCGACCCCCCACTGCATGCAAGATGACGTGTTGCATTTATAGCAACCTATTGTGTGCTTAGAGGCTCAACTAAGTGCAAAAATTATGTAAATTATAGTTGTCTATAATTATCTTATATAAATTCGAAGATTGGTTTTTTTACTATTCTTTCTTAAGTAAACAATTATTTTATAATATAAAAATTTAGAAACGGCCTTCACGAGACCAGGGAAGTAAAGCTTTCAACATGAGCCATATATATGCTACTGAAACATATAAAAATAAGTTTGTTAGTCCTCTATATTTGTTATAAAGTAATTCAATAATTTATTTTTGTTAACTTTTTTTATATACTGTGGAGAAAGTAGAGATATTATATTATATAGCTTTGTAAACTTGTAATTTTGTAGCTAATAATGTTTTTAGCTACACTACTTTATATATTAATTATATAGAAATATGAACTGCGAGGAGTGTGGAAGTGGTAAGTTTATTGAAGTGGACAATGGTTTCAAAGTTTGTGTAGAGTGCGGTGAGTAAGTTTTTATGTATCAACCGCTTTCTTCTGTAAGCTTTTATAATTTCTTGCGATCCCTTTTATTGAGTTAGGAACTCATTTAAGAGGATATCAAGCAATTACAGACGAGGAATACATATGTGGTTCTTTGCAACAAAGGCGCGGAAGAAAAGTTAAAGGTACTTTTAGTATAAAGTACTTTTTTTCAACCGCGGGCCTACCCGGTAATTGCTAGGGAAAACCCACGATTCATTGGAAGCTTCCTTAAATGCGTCCTTACAAGATGACTATATTACGCAACTGAAGCGATTGTTAAAAGTACTGCAGTCGATTATTCAGTTACAAGTTAAAGCTCTGATTTCTTTTGGCTGCACAACTGCTTTAGAGGTCTATTATCTTGCCTTCATTATGTTATTGTGGCAGTAGTGAATTTTAATTGATAAAGTCTATTATTTTTCTTAGGAAATAATATTTTTAGTTTTTATGTATATTTATTATATAAACTCAACTTTATACAGCTTTAGAAAAGTTAACATTGTTTTTATTAGTGTATAAAGCGAAGTATTTTGAAATTTGCACGCTAGTTAAATTTTTTTTTATTTTTGTTCGCATTTTGATTTTAGCTTGTTATTGCGCTCTTCTATAGGACAGCGCAAAGGGCATTTGGACAGTCTATATAGCTTCCTTCGAAAATGGCATGCACGACGAATTTTTGGCCAAACTGCAGACAGTTGCTGGGAGAGGGCGTTCTTCTTGTTTACTCAATGATGCCAGCGCTCTGAGCGAGGATGGCGGCAAAGAATCTTATTTATCGACTACTGGAAAAAGTTAGCTACTGTTTTTAAACTCTGTTAAGCTCTTCCCTCTCATTTTCTTAAAGGTACAACTGCAGAAAGTATGTACTCTCTCTCTCCGAATCTGGAATTGACGCTGGTTGTAGTATACTTGGGAGTTTTGTACCTTCATATACCCCTCACAGCTTTGGATTTCTGCGAGTAGGCGCCCTACTTTCTAGTGTTTGCGATCTGTTTTTAATCAGAACTACCGTGCACAGCATGGCTCTGAAAAATGCGATACCCTTTTACGACTCTTGCGTGGATCACCCGGAATTCCGACTGCTTCATCCTACTCATAAACAACGATTACTTAAAAAAGTAATAACTGTGTTCATAAAGGGAAGGAAATTGTTTCTTTATATTATTTTGCGAAGAACGTTTTGACTTCTAGATACCTTCACAAACGAACGACTTTGGTCGCCAAGAAACTTGGCCTAAGTCCACCGCCTCTTAACTTTTTGCCTTTGGCTTATCGTTACGCGAGAAAGCTTATGTTTCCTTGTACATTTACTATGTAGTTTATTATCTTTGACGTTAAGATAGTTAACGTAATTTTTTTAAGCTGCAATAGCGCAAGTTGCGCACGTTCTGCACCAAAAATCTGGTGTTGACCGCTGCTTGAGAGTAACCTCCCCTCCGCGTGTTATAGTCATTGCATGTCTCATTATTGCTGTAAAACTCTGTTACGGCAGCGAGTGTGAATACGAGTACGGGAGGTTCTTCCTTTGCCAGGAAGCGCACTTTCTCTTTGATCTGCGTGCTTTCACTTCTCCAGCGACTCCTTCTTCGAAGAAGTGGCAGGCCCTTTTTCTTGGGCGAGTTGGTTAAGAAAAATTTATCAGAAGAGTTTCAGTGGAGGCGAAAGTCCTGCGCTCTGCGCCCGGGACTTGAGGTCTATAGTTTATAAGAAGGGCTCTTTTATTTTTTAACTCTCTTAGTTGGGCAGGCGGGCTAGTAAACTCGGTTACCATATCCCGTCGAGAGACTATGAATATCTTAAAGAGAAAATTTTTAAGCCTATCAGGACATCCCAGGGTTATTTTTCGTGACCTTTGCTACGTTTGTTGTGGATATTGAGTTTATTTTCTTAATTTGAACTCCTCTTTTTTCCCCCTGCTAACTGTTACCCCCCCTCCCCCCATTGTTATATAAAGTTAAAGATTTGCAACTGTTTTTTGAATCAATGAAGGAGTCGATCCTTTTAAGTGATGCTGAGAGCGATGAAAGCTGCCACAATATAGGCAGCCCCCCTTACTTCCAACAAACTGCCGTAGAAAACGAGTCATGCTCAAAGAAGCCCTCAGAACATAAGAAACTACGCTCTGAACACCACGACGCTCACGGCAGCCCTCACGTTAACTATAGCAGTAACTACTTCTCTAATACTACCAACCATTATATTAATTATAGCGTCTACAAAAAAACTATAGAAAAAGTGTTAAGTTTTCAAGTTCTTACAGCTATTGGAAAGAGAGATTACGAGCTATTTCCGTTACTTCGACAGAATAAACTCTCTTCGTTGTCCATTAAACAGTTTTCCTTGGAATACACGTTGGCTTTTAAGTTACTATGTCTTTCAACTTTTAACAGTTCAAGTTCCCGCTTGGTAGACGGGCAAACACGTCTCTGTGAAGATCGCGTTCTTGATAAAGTTTGTTCCCTTATTGATCTGTTAAATACGTTGATCAACTGCGCCTACGGACATAGAAATGCATTGCTCTCTTGTTACTGTACTGGTATTACCCCAAGCAATATTATTGCCGTTGCACATGACAACACTAACCTTGAACTTTGCAACTCCCTAGCTGAAGCTAACCACCATTGTAGTATTGTTTCCAGCTATGACTCTGATGAGTATCCTGGTGGTACTACTCTCAACCCATCTCCTGAAGTTATTGAGAGTAAAAGAACTTGCGAGAATGAAACCGCAGGTCTTGTTAATCTCCGAAAGTCTTATTATAAGATCAACAGCCGAACTCAATACAATGATAAATGTAGCAAAGATGCGTGGCCTATAGAGCCTAGTCTTGATATTGTTCCCAATCCCTTTGACTATTTGAATCTTCTTTTTAACTTTGAAAAGTCTTTAGATGCTATTTTTAATTTGCTGCAGTCTGAAATTGTTAGTGACCACAGATTTTCGTCTCCACTCAATTGTCAGTATTTATGCAGTTTTTTTACAAGTCCGACACTTAGTAACGCTCAAAAAATCCACACTTATTTTCTTGATGTTCTTTTTTATTTTAAGAAGACTTTTTCTTTAAAAAACTTTGCGTTATTTAGAGGAGAGACAAGTTACCGCATCAACGTGAGTGGCAAAAGTAATTTGAAGAAGAAAAATAGTTTGCTTAATAAGAGAAAATACGTCTACAGGCACGGCGTCTTTTGCATGACTGACACTTTGCATACACAAAGTTTAGTGGAGAGAGACATAACAGCAAATAAGTTGGTCAGGAAGGAAAAATTGTCCATTTCTTATAAATTGGGACTATCACGTCTTCTTAGTGCGCAGACAAAGCGACTTCAGGAACTAATGAAAGGTTTGCTATTCAAGGCAATACTTTTGTTGGTTACTATTTTTTTTTTAACAAGGCGTCCACCCCTCTCAAAGGTATAACCTTCAGTCCGGTATCTTTTCCTTTTCGTTCGCCTTTGAAGTTTTTCTTAAAGAGTGTAGCAAGCTGGTTGACTTAACGCCAAAGGTTTTAGTTTTATAAAGGTAAAATCGCGCCAGAGTAACTTTTTTTAATAGGATATCCACCGGCATGTTATTTTCTTGGAGTATAGATTGTTTAAAGCTAGTAAAAAATAAGGTTTATGTTTTTTTGGTCCTTGCTGAATATACATTAACGTACACTTTTCTATTAGTTGTATATTTTTGCAGGTTACTTTGTTTGATTCGTTGTTTGGACTTTAGTCCTTTGCTATGGTAGGTATTATATTTGGTGAAACCTTTATAATGGCTACCTTTTTTCATTTAACCTGTTATAATTCTATTTATAGTATTAAGCGATTGTTTATTTGCTTTAAGTTAATAAAAGTTAACGTATATATAGAGTTGTAAGTTCCAACGAAACGCAAAATAAAAATTAAATGGGGAAAAAGTGGATGCTGTTATAACAATTTTGAGCCCTTATACTATTATTTGTGTTCGCCATCTTTTTGACTGGACCGCTTTGCTATGTATGACTCCTTCCCTTTTGGTTTAAATTTAATGGAAATCTTATTTTAGTGACCAGACAGTCAGTGGCTTGTAATTTTTTTTTAATAGAGCGGTGATTTTTCGGTGCAATCGTAAAGCACTACGTTGAGTGTTGTGCACCTGTTAGAAAAGATGTAGAATAAAGTTTGCGTTTTCATAGAATTTTTTGCTTTTCTCTTTTTAAAACAACAAATCAGATTCCTACAGTTTATGTTAATTTTGCCGGAATGGTGAGATTAAAAGTCATGAGGTTTATTAATAAGTTTCGGAAACTTAGTGTAACAAAAAAAATAGCTTAAAAATGAATTTTTTTATAATTATAATTTTCTTACAAAAATAAAGTGAGGATTAGATCATAGCGCACTAAGGTAACTAAAGTTATTTGTAAGTAAAGATATATTAATAGTTAACTTTTTGAAAGCTTATCATTCTAATATATTAAAGATAAAAGTATAATCGCTCTCTAATAATTAGCTCAGTCAGCAAAGGCATCCCTGTGAAATAGAGTAAACGTGATAGTACTTGCAAAGTTGGAGGATTATACTGAACATACTTTTTTAATATTTATTTTGGTACCGTCAAAATTTAGTGTGCTCCACTTGAAACAAATTTCTTTGATAAGTTTTAATACTTCTTTGTATCGTTAAAGCCGATTAGAAATTTATAAATTCCCTATAAAGATACCCAAGCTTTCTATGAAAGCTTCGAAATCGTTAAAATAGGTTTTGAATGTAAAAATTTAACTGAATTGACTTCTCTCTTTTATATTAATATAACTATAATTTTCTCCTCCTCGGCCTACTCAAGTTTTTAACACGGAGCCTGAATCTCTATCTAGTAGGAACTTTTATAAAACGCTATTTTTTTTAAAAAAAAAGTATAGTTAAAAAGAAACAAAGTGAAAAACTATACCTGCCTGTTCAAACAGTTCGGGCCACCGAACTATAAATTTTTTGGTTCGGCGGAGGTAGAAGTTATCACCTAATCTTGCTAAAGATCTATTATTGCTAATATTTCTTAACACAGCCATACTGCATGGCCTAGCGCGGGGCGCTCCTCATTTACTAGCTCTTCACCTCAGGGATGAAGATTAGCCTCGTTTATTGTCTCAAACTACTTATATTATTGCCTTCCGCTTAATAGCAGTAGCGAATATGTAATTGTCACCATAAAGTTAGTAGGGGATGCCCTTATAAACATCCATTAATTTTTAACTAAGGTTAAAGAATTTTGAAAGGTATATACAAACTATTTATTTAAGCCTCTTTTTATTTAATTTAAAGTATATTGGTTTATTAAACCAGCTATATCCCATGTTTTCCCTTGACAATTATTTGCTAGTCGTACTTAGTAAAAATCAAACTTTTTAGTAACCCAAACTTTTAGGAGTTACTTCCGACTCTTTTATCATTTTCAGTGTTTTGATGAGTTGACTTGGCTTTAACACATTTGTGGATCCTCGTATATAATATAATTATTGACATCCCCCTTGTTACAATAAAAAATCACTAACCCAACAAGATTAACCGATTTTTCATGCTTGAAAGTTCATAGACATGACGCATTTCCGAGCGAGAAATTCCACCGATTACAAATATTATCAAAGTCGGGCCTCGAAATTTATCTTCACTTTCGTTTTTAAGTTTTTTTTCAGCCCAAACTGGAGTTCGTCTGTAATTAAATATTAAATATAATGTTTAGCAATAGCATGGCTAAAAAACTTATCGCATAAGTCATTTATTGTAATAAAGGTGTAGTTAATTAGCTTATTCTACCATTAGTAAAAGATCAAGTTATGGCAACTATATCCTACTTTCTGGCCTTCTTGTAACTTTCTAGGCGTACGACGACAACGTCATCACAGTTTACACTGTATAGTTACTCTCACAAATACTTAACGAAATTAATAAAACTTTTGAAGGTTGAGCGCGCTGTTTTCAGAAGATGCGCCTACTTTACCGCTTTAACTGCAGTTACCTTAAAGGTAAATAATAAGTTTTCTACTTAAAACTCGAACTTCTGTATTGTCACTCAAAAGTAATTTCGTCGAGGTTAACACACTAACGTTGAGCCTTGTTAACAACGGGAGCCCACGGGAATGCGTACCGATTGAAAGAGTTTTTAAGCACAATGGAAGGTCGTTAGCGGATAACGAGCTTCTTACGAATACACTTTTAATAGGCATCCGAACCTCTTTAACTCCCTAACAAAAAATTTCATGGTCGAAACAAATCGGAGCTGCAGGTTTTTTATAGTGATGGTAATTTTTTGACATGTTTTCAAACCACCCTAATAAGTTAACTTAAAGTTGTAGTACTTATAGACACATAAGGCACGTTTTAGCCTAAGGAAGCTTATGTTTCGGGCGTATTTTACACAAAGACGCTATTGTATAATAAGAATAATAATATATGGACGATCGTTGTGAAGAAGCTCCTGTGTTATAAGCATCCGAGCTTTTACTGGCTTGCGTCGGGGGTTTTTCTTCGACAAATAATATATCAGCAGCTTCGTATTGACCATTCAAACAGTACTAATAACAATGATTATTAAGTATAAATTTTAATATTAGTAATTTTACTTCCATAATATCACGAAGTACAGGAACCCAGCGAGAATCAGCGTACCATCCTTAATATATATAAAAATTTCAATGTTATTAACAGCTCGTTTTAGAGTCACAACAGGAAGCTTTAAAAATCCAGTAAAGTTATTATTAAGGTTCATTGAACTAATAAAATAGCATAATAACAAGTTTTACTATTTATCTTACAACTATAAAATAAAAAGCCCACCGCTTCTGTCGCGCTTAATCCTTTTTATAGGTTGCCAATTCGTTTCATTTTCGCTCAAGACCTAATAATTATAATTATACTAATTATTATTATTAATATTATAAAGTACTTTGACATCAAGCAACGAAAGATTATTGATAGCCGTTCTATGCTCATTCGAGAGTTGGGCCATATTATACAATTTTTCCAAGTCTTTCTTACTAATTCCTTTTCATAATGATAATAACCAAAAAATATAATCCCTTTCATAATGATAATAAACCAAAAAATATGATTATACTCGTAATATTATAACGCACCCTGCTTGATAATAACATAAGCCATAATTATCCGAACTTTATTTTCTTCAGAAGCATTCTGATCGCTGAGAATTTGAGTTATAAGCGGCATCTTCAAAAAGTAAACAAGCAAAATTATTATGTTTCTCATGTAATTCAAAAGTATGTATTAAGAGAAAAGTAACCAAATCTTTCGTATTTATTTTTAGTCCGGTAGAATCTTCCCCAACCGCGAGATCCTGCAGCAAGTCAATGTTACCAATTTCATTAGTTTTATACTCCACATGTATATATTTATTATTACTATAGTAGGCATAGAGAGTCATGTGTAAGAGATAACCTGCTCGGCTTTAGTGAGCGCCTCCAAATTTTGGCGGTTGTACTCGTCCATGCACTTCTCTGTGGTGTGCAGGTGAAAAGCTTGTTTCGTGAGCTCCCTTTGGTGCTCGGGCATCGCCTTCATGGCGTCTTGCAACTCTTGAATGGAAACCTCCACAGAGACATTCAGAAGAAATATTGACTAGAAAATACTTCGTCGAACCTTTTCTTTTTTTAAATTTTTAGTACGACTCGTAGCTCTGTTTTCGCGAATTTTCCCGCCAACCGTTTGGATAGTTTCCGCAATGTGTAGGTGACGAAGCTAAAATGAGGAACATAAGCAGGTGTACAGTCTTCAAAGCGCGACGAAATATGAAGACTTGCAGCCAAAGTGCGTCCTCCATACCGATAACCACTTCCTTGCACCTTCCATTCGACTCGTATCTATTGCAAAGTAAGCACGACACACGCAAAAAGAAGTAGAGTATTACTTGTAAACGTCATTATCAACTTGAAGAAGGTCGTATATCATTGGTTGATAGTGACAGTCGTGTAATACGAGAGTTAAAACGTCCTGAGCCCTATCCACAATTATTAACTGCCCTTTATCGGCATTTTTCTTTAAAAGACACCAAATAAATAACAAAGAAAATAAAAATTAATAAATATTAAAGAAGCGCACACGAGCTAAGTTTGCCTCGTCAACGTACTGACCGAGCAGCGCATAACATTTTTGCGCAAGAGACTTGCAGTAACGCCCGTGCTTCCAGTAACCAACATACACGTCTTCTTGAAGAGTGACGCATAGCGTGGCCAGCTGGCACGGCTTAAATATAGAAATATATCCAAGGTGTAACAGCACAGAAAAACACCTGCCGAGCCATGTGCAAAATGTCCGGCTCAGCCTCGCTAAAGCGTTCCCACGTACCCAAGTCATTGTAAAAACCAAAGATTTGCTCTTCTAATGCTATGAACAGCTCTCTTATCTGTATTGGTTAAAATAGTAATGGTTTACCTAAGAAATCGAGGTTGAGTTCCGTCAGACATTTTAAAAAAGCCGAAGCATTAGATTTAGACACTTTTTCAAATAGTTCAGTATTTAAAGCTGAGTGTATTAATTTAAGTATTATTTTTTATTAACTCTAAAAAACTTAAAATATGGCGCATGAGCAAGTAAGCGTTAATAAGTCAATCAATGTCAGTTTAAGTAATCCAAAAAAACGCTTGGAGTGAAGCAAATAAAAAATTTAAAGAATGTTTTTCATATAAAAATAGAATTACGGGTCAAAGTAAATAGATAAGCGGCTTTGTAAGGAGCCTTCGAAGAGTCCTTATAGTCGTTAATGAAAAGATCTACAGACGATTCAGTAGCAGATATAATGTAAACGGCCTCAAAGTTTGGAAATGGCCGGCGACTCAGCTCAAGTTTTTCAACAACTATTAAAAAGTGTTTTAAGCTTACATTTTTTCTTTTTTAAACAAAATTAAATAAACGAAGAACAAATTTTTGCACAATTCACACAAAATATAAAAGGACAACTTAAAAATTTACAAGTAAAATTAAAAATATGTTACTTAGTTTGTTATACTGGCCATCCTTCCTAAGAAAATACTCTCTACTAATAAAAAATTCACTTTTGCTTATAATAGTTTTAAAATTTTTTGGTGAGCGATAACAAAACAGCTTCAGAGAGTATTATATATAGGCTTGGCTGATAACGCAAACCTAACTTACTTAAATTTTCATACGTACAAGCTTATTTAAAAAGTGAATTTGGGTTTACCGGTAATTGTCTTAAACATACAAAAATGGAAAATAAGGTAACGAAACTTATGAACCTGTTATCCCGTGTTCAGTTAAGTCGTTAATTCGAAGTGCACTCGCGATAACCTTAGTGGAAACGGAGTCGACCACCAAAATCCTCCAAGCTTTAGCTTCAGAATCTTTTACTTTCTTGAAAACTTCGTTAACTAAACCTAAGTAAGGAAGAAACAAGATAATATAGAATTGGTTTATCTTAGAAAAATATTAACGTTTGTATGTCTGACTTTTCAATGCGCTCATTCTGTAAGCCTCTGGAAATAAAGTGATTTCTAGTATCTCAAAGTTAAATAATTTCAGTGGTGTGTACGAGTCAATAGGTTTTATACAAGAAAGTTACGAAGGGGCCAAGCTGATTAAGAAGGGTTGAAAGGTCATTCGCTAAATATTTGTATATTGTAATATTGTATTGTCTTCTGATTGGATATGATTCTTCTCCGGCAAAGTTGCTTGGACTTGATTAAAAAAAAAATTCTGCGTATAAACTGCTTAAATTCAATTTAAAACTATATTATAACCCATTACCCAAATGGAATATATAAATTTTATGCTCAGTATTTTCAACATAGTTGTGTGATAATACGGTTAAGATAATACCACAAAGTTTTTATACGTATAACACTGCATAAGGGTACGTGTCGGATACCGTATGCGACTAGTAGGTGGCCGGTTTTTTTTCGCATTAGGTAATAATGCAAGAGTAGTACCTCTTAAATACTAATTTGTACTCAAAAGCATTGTAATTAATCCATAACGCATTCAGTAAATATGAACTTGTTTTCCTTATCGCTTAAATGTATCTGAGAAATTCCTAACCTTAACAAAAATAATTGTTTAAAAAGTTATTTAGTAGGAGAAAAATTGAACCTTAAGGCTTATAATGATATAAAAGCAGTTTCTATATAGAAGAGTTGTAGATAGATATTTAGATTAAATAACTGTTAGCTTCCTTCTAGTAGCTCTTATGACATATCATTTCGTTTCTTTTAAACTAACTTTCGTGAATGCCAAGAATGCGCAAGAGCCACTCTTTTCTTTTAACAGTTCCGACCAAGGTTGAAGGAAAAACGAAGTTTTTTATATAGATATAACATGTTGCCTACACCTATTTACAAAAAATGTTACAAAAATAAACGTACTCTGGTCTTCTGTTGGAAAGAAAGGCGATCCTCTAGTGCAAAATAGTACCCTGTTTTTTAATTACGACCCCAGATCCAAAAATTTTAATGATTAATTTAAAAATGTGAAACACTAAGGACAATAGCAGTTAATTACAGTCAATTGAAAATAATTTGTATCCTCAAACATTAAAAGCGGTGCCATACGTTTTTTAAAAAAACTAATATTTTCAACCAATATTAGAAAAAATTTTAATTATAAGACTATTGAGTTAATTAATTCATAAGCAAGCAAATAATACAAAAGAGTGGATGATGGGGAAAAAACTGGATAAAGCCTTATCCGTTTTTTTCGGTTTATACACTTGTAACTTTGATATATACCATAAATCAGGTCTCATTTTTCAAGGCCTGCCACTCAATTTGAATCGCTGCAAGTCCATGTGACTCTTCCTCATTTAAATAAGAGTACAACTTAGTAAAAAAAATATTCATTTTTAGTAAGGTCTGAACTTTCTAATCCGGCTTAGAGACAAAAAGGAGATCTTTATAAATTTTCCGAGTTAGAATTTAACTTATAACTTAACTGCAAAATAGTTAAGAAAATTGCGTTAATTACTTTTACGGTGGACGATCCATAAGCCAATCAGGGCTAGCAGTAGAGAATTGGTTTATAGTGCTGTGGTGAAAACAAGGCCTGAGACGCTAAAACAAATGCTGCCGAAGACGCAGAAAACGTATCATTACGTGCTGGGCGGTGGAACGTACAAGTATAATTTAAGCTTAAAACGAAGCAATACCATTAATATATGTATGTATACCTCCAGCTTATACCTATGTTTGACAGAGTGTGTTGTCCTATATTCGTGAGTAATTGTGTTCAAAGACGATAACCAGGAGCTTAAGCCAAAGATCTTAATATAAAGCATTGTTTTAAACAAACCACGGTAAGCTCCATGAGGATTAGCTGCTTGTTATATTTTACTTTAATGCGAGGACGCTAATGTTGGCGAGTCGTAAGCCCAATCACAGATACGTATGGCCTGTTTAGCCGTATACACACGCACGTGCCGCATGTTGTGCAACATTAGCACTAAGTAAAGGGTACAAAATTTTGAGTCCTCGTCTTAACCTTCCCCGCTACGTGGACTACGTCCGCCCCCCATGACCAGATTATCGTCTATGATAACCCACAAAAAATCATCTGGGAAACAATACGGAAATACTTTGCCTTCTTTAAGCCTAGTGATGCAGTGTGTTTCTTCGGGATAAAAAGAGCGTTAACCTCCGAATTTAATGGTAATCCCTTCGTGTCGACACCAGTAGGCGAGTGTGACCAGGTGGTACTGCAGACGCTGATGCGATTAAGACCGACGACTTTGATTAGAGGTGAATCGTCGTAGTATTATCTGTGTAAAGGCGATACGCGTGAGAGGGTGAGGGTTCGTCAGCAGAGGACCCAAGGGCCTTGTAGCCCACGGCAATATTTGGGTGTTTCCAACTCAGTCGCAGTCATATAAACCAACTTAAAAGTGGAGCCTGTTTACCCAAAAAACCCCCCGAAAAATAAAAGAAATTTGACAGCCACAGTAAGTAAATTAAAAGAAATTATGTCTCCTGGGATATATGCTAACTTTAAAATTTTTATTGACACACCCTAAAAGGATGACTTAGCTCTCTACAATATTAGAGTTGAAATTTACCTTTGAAAATTTTTCACTACAAATTTTAATATAAATGAGTTGTTACTCTAATAATATTTCCTTCCTAAGGGGCAAGCATACCTATATTTGGTGAAAGCTTTTACCTCTATCATTGTCTTTCTAATATTTATCATCGTAATTAATAAGTTTCCCTCCGCCACCGCTCTTTAGTGTTTAAACGTTGCACGCCATGAATACCAGAGCTATAGTTTAAAGTCGCTTGCTAAGTCTAGGTACTTTGCGACTTGAAAGACACCTATTGACATGGTGTACTTTAATAACTAAGCGATTGTCTCCTTTGAGAGTTGAGGTCAACTATTGGCCTTCGTAACCAACATACCTCTAAGCAGATACCGGAAGGCGCGAGGGGGCTTCGAATAAGAAAGAAAAAATTCGTATGTGTCCTCTGTACGACCAGCCGTCTAAATTCTCTTTTTGTACACAATATGATTTTGTTAGAAAGTTTACACTTTATATACTAAAGATAAAACTATCCGCAAACTTCACATAATAAAATCGAACAAATATAAAACATCAATAAAGAATCAGATCGCTTTTTAGTTTGTAAAAAGATTTATTGCTTCTCTTGATAACTTTTATAAAGGTTAATAAATTTATATATAGAAGGTGAACAAATATTCTATATTTATCGTGGTTGACCAACTTCCTGTTTTGAAAAATTATAGCTGTTTAAGTGCATCTTCTCTTTGTTTTTTTATAAGCTGTGAACATTCATTATAACTAGAGCCTAAACCAAAGCCAAATCCGAGGAACACGGGCAAAGCCTTCCTTTCTAAAAAACGGTGAAAATAAATAAAACTTCTTTAAAAAAAGAGAATTTAAAGAGTACTGGAAAAAAAATTGTAATATATGTACGCCTTTAAGTTTATATATTTACCAAGAGTTCCCTATTACTTAGTTTTATAATCAAATATTCATATTTCTTTAATTACTGTTAAGTTACAGCAAAAAAGATTATTGGTAAGTAAGCTAATAAGTCATTCTTATTATGTAATTAAAGTAAGTCTTTAAAAAAACTTAATTTATAAGAGCACAAAAAAATTGCTACATTCTAAACTAAAGGAGACGGTTCGCTAAAGTATATTTTCTAAGAAAAATGTGTACAATAGTAGTGAATACTACAGTAAAAGTGTTTTACGAAAACTACCTAAACTATCCAGAGTCTAACAAAAACTATATAAAAAAATAAAAATAAAAATTTGTTAGAATAAGTACTTCTAAATATAAATAACGAGCTGAGTGCCCCAACCGCAGTGGCCAACGCTATATAAATAAGTATTATATTATTTAGTAAAAGGATTTAAATAGAGTCTAACCAATATTAGTAATAGATTTGTATATAATATGATCCATAATAAGTTGCTCGGTCCTTTCCATTTTATATCACAATGAAAACAAACTTGCCTCCGAATTTGTAGGCCACTGTTAATGTGTAAAAATGTTCCAAATATCGCCCTCACCGATATCTCCTCCCTTACAACACATTGATTTAGCAGACGTACTCGTTAAACCTTTTTTAACAAATCAAATTAAACCACAACTTTTTTAGTGACGACACCACTATTGCTAAACTAGACCGCCAACCTTAAACTGTTACAGTCCTGAAGGATCTATACTCTACACCAAATTTTGCAGACACGAGGACATAGAACGCCAGGATGGATTTATATCAAGCCCGTCAACTAGTGGGAGGATTTTAGAAATTTTTACATTCTTTATAAAAAAGTGCCGCCTTACTTTTTAATTCTTGACTGCTTTACTTTAGCTGTTCTGCTTTATCTTTCTGTTTTTCTTTTTTTTTCTTTTAATATTTTCTGCTTATCTTTTATTTCTAGGGAGAGGCTCACCTAACAGCTTTGCGCCTACACCCGTAAAAAGAAGTGAGTTAGGAGGCGCGGTATACAAGCATACATTACTAACCTTAAAAAGCATTAAAATGCGTGATAGGGTTTTCATTATAGCTGTTAATGGCTTTGTCACGAGATGCGCCTCCGCATTTTATAACTATAATCTGTTTGTCAACTGGATTCAAGAAACCTTTTGCGTAACTAGGGTATGGAGGGTAAGGCGTTTGGGATAAAGCATTAGGTTATCACGTAAATCCATTATACCGGGGCTAAAGTACTGGCGAGGTCAAATATGCAAATCCATCAGAGATCATCGTTGGAAGAGGACCTAAGACCTTGAGTTTACGCGTTTATGCTCTTTAACACTGCGCTACATCGTAATTCTCAATCCTCTGTTAGAACTGTTAAGAAAAAACATTTTTTTTTGGATTGTTAGGACTCATTAACTTTAAATTTACTTTGAAGGGCGGCCACTTTTTGGTTTAGTGGAAAATTTAAGCAGTACGAGCTTCGCTCTCAACATTAATTTAAGTGTAGGATAACGATTCTTTTACATTAAAATGAGGCCTATACTGGAGTACCTATTTGCGTACACTGCAATTGAGCAGTAGGCCGTTCTATGTGTGTATGAAGATATCCAAGGCTTAAATACACAAAACTACTCCAACCAAATTTAACTTTAAACAGATTTTTTGAATCAGGTGCGCCCACCTTCATATTTGGGCCCAAATAAAGTAATTTTTCTTCACACAGGGTAATAATTGCGAAGTAGGTAATTTTTTTTTAAAAGAGCTGCTGAAATTTTTCTTGCATTTATGCGTTAAAGCTGCAGGATGCAGGATTATTCGGATAATTACGCACTCCCATTTCCTTTAAACTAAATTTTTTGAATGCCTGGCTTGTTCATAAAATAAATTTTACTGAGTAGTGAGCAGAGTTACTTTTTGGTCATATCATTTTAAGTTTAGGCTTTAACTGGTCTGTACCTTAGTCGCCAGAAAGACCAAATATATAGAGGAATAACTGTTTTGGGAAAACTAATAGCTAGCTGCTAAGTTCAAAAGTAAATAAATTTCTTTTTAAAACAAAATGTTTAACTTAAGTTATATTTAACAAAAAAGAGACTGTCCCACTTCGGGGAAGGTGAGGTAATTTCAATATTTTTTCAAGATATCATCAACTAGCGCCACTTAATTAAAAGGGCCGCTTAGCCTTTTAATCTCCAAGTTCTTCGTGCGTTATTCTTTTGTCGATCAAAAAATATTAGCAAAAAGTCTTCTTCCGAAAGTAAAAAAGCTGTATACTAAGAAATTTAGTGTTTTCCAACAAGACGGAGCCTCTTTTCACACAGCCGAGGCAACACAAATATGGCTCTCGGAAAAGGAGCTCAAAGTTTTTTCGTGGCCTTCTAGTAGCTCAGATTTTAGTAGTATTAAAACAATGGCATAAGATGGAGCGCAATTACGAAATAACCCTTAGAGGACAATTCCAAATTTATAGTCGTAGCTAGCAGATTCACGGACTAAGTTTACATTTGAGTTTTGTAAATCTTTATCAGCGATAATGCCTTTCAGAATACCAGCAGATGTCAGGGCAAAAAGAGATGTAAACTATATTAAACCATACATAATCGATTTCGTCCTGGGATATATAGTTGTCTACGATACCTCATATTATAATTTATTTAATCCTAATTACTTTAAAGGCGTAAGTACCTACTTTTGCTACATTAAATGCAAATTCAGTAATAAAACTTTCATATTTTTGACGAACAGTTTTAATAAACTTTACTACTTTTATTAAATAATAACACACAAAATACTAAAGGGCTTTTGTTAGGGCTCGTGCCTTTAATAAGTAGTTAATAAAATATTTTTTAATATAATAACATTTTGCAATGTTACTGCTACTTTAAACATTATTAGCGTTACTTACAGTAATATTATTGTGAGTATACAAAAAATATTTCCGAAATCGAAGGAACAAGAGGACAGATATAAATGCAGGAACTTAAGTAACCTGGCTAGTTGTAACTGTATTATTAGAGCATGTGTAAAATGGTTACTCGATCCGTTAGGCCATTAGATGTCTCTCCATGCTTGAAAGTGGACGCCCACCTTCACATTAAAAGAGAAGAATAGTTTTGAGTTATCGTGTGTTTATAAAAATTTGTTTTTTTTCTGCTTTGCATTTTACGCTTCATTTTCGATCGACTTAATGGCTCACTACGGCAAGGTTCAGCTTCATGATGGTTCAACTATTATTCCAGCGACTCAGCGCCCTGATGGAAGCTGGAGAAAAGAAAGAAGGGTAAAACCTGGTTATGTACCTCCCGAAGAACAAGGTGTTATGTTTTATACTCTAATATTATTACCTAGTATATTTTCATTGAAAGAAAAGTTTAGAAGCATAGCGCAAATAAGCCAAGAAAATAGAAAGAGAGCCGTAAGTTTTTTAGTATCATCCATATCGTGTCAAGGCTATTCATGTTTTCACCACCTTAACTTTTCTCGCTATATTTTTAGTCTAACAATCCAGTTCCTGGTGTTATTTTGTTTACGTCAATCCATGAAAAAAGTACCACCCTGAGAAATAAGCAGAAGGCCGAGGCCAAAAAGAAGCGCGCTGCTGCCAAAAGACTCGAACAGGGTTTAACTTTTTTTGTTGTAAGGAAGGTAATATTACACTTTAGGACGAAATACTTTTTTACCTGGTAAAGATGGTACTAATAAAGAAACTCTTACGAAAGCTATGGAGGGTTTAACGCTGATTGCTACTGACAACTCTTCTCTCGCTATTGAAAGGTTTATATACGTTAGACTTTATGTTCGCTCTTTCTATATAAGCAATTTATGTTTATGTGTAAGCTTTTTGTCGTATAGCCTACGATCAAGCATTTTATTTTTATTAAAATGAATGGGACAGAACGCATGATTTGAAAAGAATTCACATATATATAACATATTAACTTTATGCTTGTAGTTTCGAATTTATTAAAGACCCTTAACTTAGTCTTTCAGAGGTCTAACTCACGCACTAAACTTAAACGTTTTTAGTTTGTCCGATCCGGAATCGTTAAAGAGGAAAATTAAAAATTTAAAACAGAAACTAAAACAATCTGAAGAGCTCAAAGCCAAAGTGAATAATATGGAGATAGAGCCCAACCTCGACCAAGTTAAAAAGATCGGTAGCTAAATAGTAATAACATTGAATAAAAATAATATTAGTAACTTTAATATAGAACGAATCGAGGAAGTTAGGGAGCTACTAAAAGCACTGGAAGAGAAACTAAGGGGCATGTCGTAGTCTTCTATCGTTATAATAAAACCACGTCCTTGCACTGACTGCTTTTTTGGTTCCATTGGTCGCTGTGCTTTACTCTTCGCTCATGCTGACGTCGGTGAAGCCCTCCTTGAAGGGAAATGCGAATAGGCAAATGAACTTCGGCCTATACTTATAAGTACGTTGCCAAAGAGGGGCATTTGCGAGCCATCTGGTTCAGGGCTTGATTGGCCTTCCAATGGGGCCTCATTGCTATGTAGAGCGTTTGCCCGGAGCTTCAAGCTTTCCATCTCTGGTGGGTTAAAGTAGGGTTAGGGTTTAGAGGCACTTGCTTACACGTAAGAGGGCGCTACTCACCATCCCAGAAGGTATCGGATCCGCTTTCTTCAGAAAGTTGCCTTTTGGGCGCCTCCTCGTCTTCCGCCGTCAAAGGCACCTCCACGCATTCCAACATTTTCAGTAGCTATTCAAACAGTACCGCTTTTTAGCTTGCGCGAATGCACAGCATTCTACACGCACCCGCTCTCTCACGGCAGTATCATGCGTTTTTATTTTGACCTTGCGAGTTGAACTTTTTGATGCCCTTTTTACTATTAAGTTGATACCTGTTTGTATTTGTTACAAGCCTTAGAGTCAATAATTATCATGGAAAACTGCCTTTTCTCGTAACGACTTTTTCCTGGATTCTCCTCAAGAGGACTTCGTGTTTGGCGAAGTAGCCAGAGTTCAGGTTGTACAGGAAAAAAAGATGATAATTGGTCAATAACACCTAACAGCGGTTGGCACGCCTCCTAGTCTTATAAATGATACGAAAAAGCGTACAATTCTCTTTTTTCCTTGCGAAGTAGCTTTTGAATAGCTTATATGGTCCACATACGCCTCGTGCTTAAAGCTGCCATTGCACATCGTCCTTAAAATGTAGTTCCCCTGACCAATAAGCATATGTGCCGTTTTATTTATTGCAGGCAGGCAGGAAAGTACGGATGATGCATGCAGGTCATAAGGACGGATGATTCCATCGGCATCTATAAATCGTGGCGGTCGTGCTCTCTAATATCCAGTAATCATGAGAACAGGCAGGTAGTACAATATATTGCTCAATGACGTACTTTCATGATCCGACTTTTGGAAGCCCAAATGACAAGCGCATTTAATAAGTAAGTGGTCAAATCCAGAAACGCCAGAAGTGGCCTTATAATGAAGGCTAGCAAGCCTCGACAGAGACCTTTCATAAGACCGATGGGGCCTTCAACGCGTTATCGTATATTATTTCTTTACGATAATCACAACTCTCTGCAACCTTGCCGTTTATAGCCCTCCAGCGGTTTTATAATTATCGCAATTAACTAACAAAGACGCAAAGATAGTCAACTTTAAGCATAGATAATAGCAGTTTCTAGACTACCGCTATAGCCAAGCCATGCGCAAACAATTGTGCGCCAAGCAATATGCTCGCGAAACATGTGCTCGGCTTGATTGTCAGTTTCTCTTTCCTAACAGCAGTTTAAGAGAATGTAACATTATTACCAGGGCAAAGTACCTCGATTTCTTATAGGAAGGATCGAGGGTGCACGAGCAGAGCAGGCCGCTCAGCGTACTCAGCAAACTGACAATCATATTGAAGACTCCAGAGCACGTGTATGACCAAAGAGCTGGGAATAACGTTTTTAGCACCACCGCCTACAGTGAAAGTCGCCGCTTACCTTTACATCCCATACGCAACCCTCTACCCAGTCTTCCCTCTTTAGCTCCGAAGAATGTCTTTTAAAGGTGGTGTTAGTCCGCGTGTACAAACAATAGTTAAACGGCCTTTTCTTTCTTACCAACCGACCAAAACTCATCAAGCCAAAACTAATCTCGTGTAGGGTAGCAAGCGGGTTGCCAAGCCATGCGAGGCTGCCAAACGCCTTAAATAACTCGCGAATAATGTTAAAACGGTAGTGTCGCACAATGGCTTCGTAGGTTAACTTTCGTGTGCTGTGAGTAAACAAGGTTGTAGTCTCGCAATGGAATATGAAGTGACATTTCTACCTGACAGCATGAGCCCGCTGAACTTGAGAAAGCCGGATCGGTGTCCTGCTAACATTGCACTAAAGGAACGAGTAATGCTTTTCAAAATAAGGAAAACACCGGCAACGAACCACCGCGCCTCCGATAGACCGCAGCAAGATGAGCACGAAATTGTTACCAGGATCAGAGAGTGCTTGCTCTCCGCTAGAAAGCATAAAGGTCAGAAGAAAACTTATCGAGCTGATGTTCAAATGCTCGTAGTAAAGTGTTCGCGTGGCTTTCTGGTCCGTATTCAAAACCAGCTCATGAGAGACTTCAATTAGTGCCTCTCCCATGGCATCCATTGGCTCTTCTACCATAAATTGATCCGGAAGGTCGTCAAAAGAAAACTAATGGAAAACGTTAGGGAAACTCAGCTGAAAGAAGCGATAATATGTAGCATACAAAACGGAAAAGTTCTGTTAGAAAATTTTCTTCCACTTGAAAAACCATAGGTCGAACTTTAATTTTTATCAAAGGATAGTGCTCTAGATATATCGATTGTCCCGCAGTTAGTCTGGCCTGCACACCACGTGTTCACAATACGACCTCGGCATAACGAATAGTAGCAACCTTGACGAGCTTGGCATAAAAAAACGGGAATAAAGGATCGTCTTGAGCCGCGCCAGGTTGGTAAGAAGCAGTGAGCAAGACAGGGAAGAGCGTGTCCGTTTGGTTGTCCAACTACAAGGCGAAGTGAATTGAAAACTTTTAACAAGGAGGGCTAAAAGGACCACCTGCAAATGTTGCACTTTCACAGTCATATCTACTTCTAGACGAGAAACGTTACAGTCGACGGACACGCAATCCACGTGAAGATAGCACAACTCCTGCTGGGCGAAAGAAGGTCGCATGAGTAGAGCAACGGCATATTGATGCGAAGGGCTACTTTAGAATGGAGGCTGATGAGCGAGACTCCCGCACCCGCCAGAGACAGATGTCCTTCAAAAACCACCTCGCTTGGAGAGTCAGATGCTTTGGTAGAGGCAGTCTTCCGGCTGCTGAAGCGATCCAATATACGATTGACAACACTATGCCTTTCCTAATATTAAACAACTTTAAACGCTGACAGTAAACAGTTCAGCGCGCGCTTCTACCGAAAAAAGAAGGATTCGGGTGGGCCCTTCCGGGAAAGAGACTCCGTATATTATTTTTCCCTTGTCACCGATCTTTACCGTCTGAAAGGTGCGCTGAATCTACGAATGGCAAGACTATTGTCTATAGTAGAAAAATGTAGTGCTAAATCCAACCTCCTCCATGCTAATGGTTACCCAGTGGCTTTTCGTCAAGGCCTTCTCCTTGCCCACAACTTTCCATTTTATCTCGTGAATCCCACAAGCTGAAAAGCAGACATCTTCATTTCGTAATATGTCACCAAAAAAAGAGATATACGATTATCGTATGTGTAAGGAAGAGCCCGTCCTGGAAGAAGCAGGTGTTTAATACTGCCTTTACTACTTTCTTTAAAAACTACGGCATGATCCAAAAAATTTTCCACTCTCACTGCCTCTGGATGCTGGTTTTCTCTGAAAGAGGCAATCAAAGTGGCTCCTTCCAAACGAACTTCACAGCGCAACTGCCGAATAATGTAGTAAAATGGTAACTGACTGGTAGAAACGACAAAATATACCACGCGAAAGCGCACTGAACTGTCAAGAGGACCTGCATCTGAAGCGTCAAG